AGCTTCATAGAGAGATAGTATAGTAGAGATAATATATAATAATATAGAGATCATAACTAGCCTTGGAGCACAAAACCAGTTAAAAATTGCATAGTAATAGTAGTAATAGGTGAGTTTGTTGTTTATATTATAGTTGTTGTGTTAGGAACTACAAAGGTTACTACAGTATCATTCAAGAACACAGTATTATTTACTATAAATGACCAAATTACTGCATTTTATTCATGTGGGGTATCTTAAATTTGATTTTCTCAATATTAGGATTTTTAAACTCTCAGATTCAAGATTTTTTATAGTCATATCTGAGCCAAAGTTGTTCTAACAAACCAAGCTTAATCTTTAAGCTTTCAGATGATGCATACATCTCAATTTCCAAACATTTAGACTGGATTTGTGGTTAAACTTACATTGCAATAAAATGCTTTTGTCTTTTTTCTAGTCCAAATATCTAAAAAGTCTTAACTCAAAAACCATGAGTAAAATATGCTGCCTTGTTTTCAGAAATAATGAGTCAAAATAAAGAGTTTTTAATTAAAACAAGCAAAATAATCAGACATTGGGGTAAAAATAGTCCAGTTTTCGCTTTGCAATATTATTTTACTTAAGTTACCCCACTGGCAGATTACTTTGCTTGCTTTAAAGAAAAATGGACTCAATTTTAATAATTAGGCTATCTCTTTAAAAAAACAAGACGGTATTTTTACTTTTCTAGAAAATAATTCTTGTTTAAAGTATTTTTAGATAGTTGGAGTAGAAACGAGCAGATAAAATCTATGTAGATTAGCGTGTCCAATTATAATGTTGCGCGCTCATCGGAACAGTAATCGTGTATCCCTCCGCCTAAGCAGATCACGTGCTGCGGTCAACCGTTACAATTTCTGCTGCAATCGATAACAACGGTCGAAACAAACGACGAAAACCAGCGATATTCCCGTTTCTCTGGCGTTATATAATCTATAGCAAAACCCGCACCAAATATGCGCCTATATGGAGGAATCCAAATTCACTGTAATATTAGCAGCCGTGAAATTCTCAGTGCGAGTGCTCGCGACAGACGATTCATCAGCTGAGGAGAGAAAAGAGATGAACTCTCCTAGAAGAGAAGATTTCCAGAAATACGTGAGTACAACATTACAATATAGTATCTAATAACAGCTTCAAACTCGAGTCCAAGGAGACTCGTTTAACCATAGTATGGCTGTGGGAACTGTTGGTGTCGGTTCAGGAATGAATCATTCTTTTGAATCGGTTCTTTTAGTAAGTGAGTCGAGCCAGTTCACCAATTTGAACTGAATTTTTCAGTGTGATTCGCGACTCGACTCAGCAAAGCATCCAGACTGACCAGTGTATAATATTAAACCCAGAACTGTTTACAACAGTCCGCGAATCATCAGTTTACCGAACAAGATATACATATAAGTCTGTATACATATAATTCTTGTTAATTAATCTTAACGTTACTTGATATACAGAACAAAAAAGGTTATAATATTCCTTTAGAATATTTCAACGTGGTGTGAAATTGGCTCATGAACATTTCCTGCTGTTTGATATCTGTAACATAAGGCAATTCCATCATAACCTGACGTTATAACAGCTGTCGTAACATTATTTATCAAATTGCAGAACTTATGTTTCTCAGAAGCCTATACAAATTTAAAATGTAAAATAGGAAATCTGTCAGGACTATCTATGGTTATTGTTTACATCCCTCAAAATGGTCTGTAACAGGTGACGGGTAAGTGTGGCTTAATATTCAGGTTTTCTGCTCGGCATCTAAAATCATACTGTTATTCAACATTAATATTGATCAGCTTGTCTACAATGCTACACACAGATCATGCATTTAATCCACTAGTTTTTGAGCTGATAAACTAGCGTTTCCCACTAAGGTCCTACCCTTTTTTGACAGAAAAATAAAATCTTGGCAAGGACAAATATAGGTGACTTTCTTTGTGCTAGACATTTATTTTCCAGACCAAATAAGGTGTGATAGTGTTTCTCTTTCTCTCTCACTCACACACACACCCCTGCAAACATGCACAGACACTCACACGTACTCACTCTCATATACTATCAGCACACACATGCATGTGCACACACACTCATGTGCTCACACACACACACTCACACATGTACAAAGGCATACACTCTTCCTCTCACACATGCACACACACACATATAGATACACACACACACACACACACACACACACACACACACACACACACACACACACACACACACACACACACTCACACACTTTCCATAATGAGATATTTGACCGAACACTATTTCTACAAACACTAAAGCAGCTCAGCAGCATTAATTTTAGTCTGAAGCTGCAAATCATTAATCTTTACAATAGTGTTTAAGATGCAGCTTCTTCATGAGGAGAATGTTTGCTTCTGTGAACATGTATACGCACACACACATGCCGGTGTTTGGGTCAGGAGCTGGACAGGAAATAGCAGTGAAATTGACCGGTCGGTGGACAGAGACTCACACAAACACACACAACAACCGCAACGTTAACTCCAGTATAACAGAGACGTCTTCCAGCATTTAAGGCTCAGACTTTGCACTTTGGCCCAACTGTGTTTGCTTGTAGATACTGTTTTATACTGCAGGATACGACTGAAACAGACTGAGAGCGCACAGTTGCGTCATTACACACATCATTACTTATATAACTCATAGAGAATCTTAAAGATGTACAGCATTTTAGAGGTGGAGAGAGATCACAATATACTGTTTTACTTTAGTTCTTAATCACAGGATTAAATTCAGTCATATAATACTGCAAAACATGCTGTCTTATTTAGTAATTGGCTTGTTTCTAGTCCAAATATATTGTATTAATACAGTACATTGTGTTCTATTAAGTCATATTTACACAGGCGGCCCTAAAGCGGGTCTGTGTCTTTCAGTGTAACATTGAAATAACATTATTTTTCTTATTATTAGAATCACCACAACAGATCAGTTACTATAGTTGTGTTCCCATAGCAACTGTAGAATCACAACAACAGGTCAATTATTGTAGTTTTGTTCCCATAGTAACTGTAGAATCATCACAACAGATCAATTACTGTAGCTGTTGTGTTACCATGGCAACTGTAGAATCACCACAACAGATCAATTACTGTAGTTGTGTTACCATGGCAACTGTAGAATCACCACAACAGATCAATTACTGTAGTTGTTGTGTTACCATAGCAACTGTAGAATCATCACAACAGATCAATTACTGTAGTTGTTGTGTTACCATAGCAACTGTAGAATCACCACAACAGATCAATTACTGTAGCTGTTGTGTTACCATAGCAACTGTAGAATCACCACAACAGATCAATTACTGTAGTTGTTGTGTTACCATAGCAACTGTAGAATCACCACGTCAGATGAATTCAAGATTGATTCAGGCAGGTAAATGTGCAAATTATTATACAGTATGTCATTTGATCATGCAGGTTAAATGTGCATCGTTGACTGGGATCACTGATAGATGTTTATAAGGGATGTCTGTGCACTCAGCATCCTCGAACAGAACTCTGTAAATCAGGCTCTTCCTCAGCCGTTCAGATGCTGAACACAGTTTTACGTCTCCAAGCGGGAGGGCAGATATTGAACCACTTAACTTGGGTCTAATTTATGAGGTAAAAGTTTGCAGGGACTCAGGAGTCATACATCAGCTTTATAATAAGGCTTGTGCTGGCTGCTGGATTTACTGCACACTAGTTGCATCATATTTACAGTGACGTCACAGTCTCAGTGCTGTTCTGTCTGAAGCGTACGGCAGTATTTCCCTTCCTCTCATCGCTATATCTCGCTGTATCTGTCTATTTTCCTAAACTGGTCACTGATTATTCAGTCAAACCCCAAAAATCAGTGGCTAACAGAACAGTGTTTAGCGAGAGGTGTAGTGGATTATTGTAGTTTCACTGCCTCATATGTCTGATCTTTCCTCATGAAGATATATTTAACCTTTTAAACAATAGCAGAGTTGACATTTTCCATCATGTTGTTCTTCAGCTCCAGATGCTAACCTCAAATGCCACTCTAAAACACGATTTTATGTATTTTCATCATATTATTGTTTTAAAAAATTGAGTGAAATATCACAGCAACAGAGTCGACACATAATCAAGTGAAGTTTGTTCATAAACTAAGTTTGAGAGAATCGGGTGATCATAATTAATCACAGCTGGTCCCGCATTAACTAACCTATGATTCACCAATCAGATGATTCCTAACTCACTATAAATAACCACAGTTTCTTACATTAGTTAACATCGCTTTGAAGAATCCCCCCTTCCACCCCTACTCCTCCACCTTTTCCTTTATAGGGTGGCCCGGTGTTAAGCACTGTTTCTTTACAGCAAGAACGTCACTGGTTCAAATCAGGCCAGTTGTCATATCTGTGTGAAGTTTGCATGTTCTCCCTGGGCTCGTGTGGGTTTCCCCCGGGGCTCTTCGGTTTCCTCCCACAGTTCAAATTCATGTGGCATAAGCGATTTGATCAATATAAGTAAGCACTATAGTCGAGCTCTTGCAGCAGTATATCTCTATAAAGCGATTTATAATCTGTCATCAGCTCTAACTAAAGAGGGGAGTTCTCGAGACCTACCTGAGCTCAAACTCCCCTCTGGCCCTGCAAACAGGAGGGAGCTCTAAGCTTGAGGATCTTATGAGCTCAGTGCTCTCTCCCGGGACTGCATGCCAAACCTGCTTTATAATCAATAATCAGCTGAGTGTGAACTCTTGAATCTACTTTTGGTGAACCTTAAAAAAACATTGAAAGAAGAATAGCGACACACCTTAATGCCTTTCAGAGTTTCCCGCCACACCAAGTGACATCAAGTCACATGCTTTTTCCCTCTGGGCTTTACTGATTGTTCTGCCTTTTTCTAACCAATTCAACAGAGTTGACTAAAACGCAAAGAAGACAGACACTAAATGTGGTTTTTAATAAATGAAAATACAAATAATACAGAAAATAGATGTCCATGCAAAAGTTTATTTGATTTAGTAGAGTAAACACAGACAAAAGATGAAGAATAGCCTTAATTATTTGATGAAAATTGAAGCTGAATATGATTCAGGAGGCAAAGACAGTTAAACATAGGTAAAGAGGGAGCTTTTCATTTAATATTTTCTAGACAAAATGTCCCTAATTACCTTTAGAGATCAATTGATAATATTTGTGTTATTAATTAAAAGTGTTAAATTAAAGAAGGAAAATAATAGAAGATTTAGCAAAATTACCCTCAATTCTAGAATCACCCCTATGAAGAAGTACATGGAAGTATGTGAATAGGTATATAGTCTTATCACAGTAAATGCTTGCCGTTATATTAAGCAGGTAGTTTAAGCAACAGATGTGATTATGCAATTACATATAAAGAAATACTGCTTAATGGTTGAAGTTTTTCAGAAAGGACTTTCGGCAGGAAAGCAACTTAAAATATGTTGTTTAATTAATTAATTTAATAAGCACATTATTGCTTTCAGTTTGCTGGCTGTAACACTGTAGAAAGAGTTCCACCTTGTGGCCATTTATGTAAAAACAGGGTGTGAAAACTAGCCTCAATGTTAAAGAAAATCCTAAAGCGCATTACTTTTGAAACTTGAGAAAATGGATTCATTTGCTTGCATTGCCACAAATGTAGCGACCTTGGTGTGGCATAATGGATTAGACTGGGATCAGTGATGTAGATGATGTATGAATATCAGGATGAGGATGTGCATGATTTTCTCTCGCTGAGTGCTCTTTAATGCAGTGGAAGCCGCCATAAAAATGATCCGATTCACATCCCCTGTGGAAACAAATCAGCATTATAGGCTTTATACTAAAAGAAAAGCACAACATTTTAATGTGGGTGTGTTTTCAGTACAGTGAACAAGTGGTCTGATTACACTCACCATGACAAATCCAAGAAAGCTGATAGAGACATTCCCCAGAACGTTGATTGTAGTCACTCTTTCAAAAGGGATGCGGTGTTTGAACATGCTCTGCTTGTGGTCTTTGAATTGCACCTGGCAAACCAAAAACAGCTTTTCAATTGTTTTTAATAGTGTAGGTTTTTGTGTTGTTTTTAGCCCCAATATCTAAAAAAGTTTATATTAAGAAATTTTTTACATGAGCAAAATACAATGGTTTGTTTTCAGAAATGAGTCAAAATTAAGTTAGTTCTTTATTAAATCAAGCTAAATAATCTGCCAATGGGGCAAGCTAAATATTCTTATTTCAAAGCAAAAACGAGATCATTTCACTTCCCCATTGGTAGAATGAGACAATTTTTGTTTGCTTGGCTAGAAAATGCTTCATAATTTAAGTGATTTTAGATATTTGGACTAGAAACAAGATGAAAGCATTTCTGTTGCAGTGATATTTGATTAAGGTTAATGAGGGGAAATTATTTTTTTACATTTATATTATTCTGTAGATGTAAAATAAAGGTTAATATGAGTAGGCTATTATTATTAATTTTGCTCAAACATGGTAAAACAACACTAATAATATTATCACAATATCACAAGTCGTGCTGGACTCATAAAATTCAAATTCAAATTGCTTGTTCGTTGATGCAAGATAAAACTTTACCATTCAATTGACAAAATGTGTCAGAAGCTCATCAGGAACCACTTTTTAGTTTTCTTTTGGGAAATGCAGGGCGCTTTATGTCCCGAAGCACATACCTGATATCCTTCAGCTTTGATCTGAATGTAGAACTCAAAAGCATCTCCCTTTTTACACGGGTTTTCAGAGACGTATTCCTCCGCTCCCCATCTCCCGCTCTTCATACTGTTCATGACCAGCTTTGAGCCCATTCGGGGATTGAAGTGGAAAGCAATGTCATCCTTATCAGTAGACCCGGTCTTGAAGTTGATTGAAAACCTGCATGCAAGTCAATACATTTTAAAGAGTTTAAAGATTGGTCACCATCGAAAGTAAAGATCACATTTTGTTTAAGAATAACTGCAGGGCTGGATCTCTCTTGTATGTTTGCTGCAGTATCATTAGGGTTTTGCTATGATTATGGTGCGTGGACACATATAGTGACTGTTGGTTGAATTAGATATTACTATAGAGCTTTTCACACTGAGATCAACCCAGGGTTATTGTCGTTAATGACAGGATGACCCAGGGTTTCACATCTGAAAAGCCCTATTGTGTGGCAGCTAGGGGTGTAATGGTATACTGAAGTCATGTTTTGGTACCTACATCAGTTTTTAGGGTCAGGGTTCAATACAGGTACAGGAAAAATAACAACTGCCCTGTGCTTGCATTTATCTGTTTATTTTGAACAGGCAGAAGTGTTTCGACACAATCAGTATACAGAACCGACAAGCTACTTGTGATGGAAGAATACAATATAAACCTTGCACATGATTGGTGCTCATTAATGTCAGTTACACAGCAGTGGACCAATTAGAAGAACTCAGAGGCGGGGCAAGAGTTGCTCGCTAGTTTATGTGTAATGTTTTCAGATGCGAAGACATGTTGTTTGTGAATGGCTGATAAGTTGACGTGATGGATAAGGATCAATACATACCATTACACCCCTAGTGGTAGGATGAATTTAGTGCATACTTTAATGGAGGCCTGAATATATGAAATTGTAACTCACCGATCACCATTACTAGGAACAACTCCCTTCACATACAAGGTCATGCCTTCTCTTAGTCCTCCAGGGATTTGGCCCAAATAAGGAAGGTTCTGACAGGAGCACAAAAAATCGGCATCAGCCCAATCTTGAGACGGTTTGAGTTTATTAAAATGGAAATTGGAAAAGCATTGATGATTAAAGTTGTCATCACAATCTTAATATAAAAGACAGTGAGACAATTTCTTTTGGGTGAAACATGCACTGCAGTTTCATTATAGAGGTCGTTCAACCAAGAAGAGAAATTCTGCCATCATTTACTCACCTTGATGTCATTCCAAACCTGGCTTTCTTTTTTGTGGAAAAAACACAGAAGAATGGTTCAAAGGTTTCATTGAATACAATGAAAGGGAGTGGGGTAAATAAAAAGTTCCACTGAAGGAAGAGTGTCTTATGGCTTTGAAATCTCTTCCTAAAATAAGTGTACAGCACATTTATTTAATTATGCATGTTCAAGTAAAGATCAAGTGTATTTTTAAGTATAATTTATGTAGACAGTATACTATTAGCAATATGCTAGTAGTGTACTTGTAAGTGTATTATTTAAATACAACCTCTTTAAACTGTCTCACTTGTAAATATTTTTGCATGTTTTTGAAAGTTGGAAGAAACTAACAACTTATAGTACACTGCTACTTTACCTTTTCCTTTGCACTGACAATTACCTAAGCGCAATGATGCAATGCTTATAATAACCAGATCTTATAACATTTAGTGGAGGCTTCAGCTTTATTTGAATTATCTAAATAATCTAGCTAAAAATATGTATCCAAAAAAAGCATGCTAGTAGCACACTTGAGTATCTGAAGGTATGACAAAAAGTGGAGTAAATGACAAATTTTGAGCGCAGTATATCTTAAGTGACTGGAATGGATGGGTCACTCACGGGATTTTGCACTGCTTGTAAGGCCTTTGATTGTATTATGGACAGATCCCACTGTGGGCTTCCCAGACTGGTGATTGTTGACTTGACTCTAGTAGTAAATGAGGATTTGCTCCAGTTCTGTCGAGGAAATAGTGAGAGTGTGTGTTTAGAAAGCTGGATACACTTCTCAGTGGATTCTTAACACAGTATTGTATTGTTGTTGTAGTATTTCCACAGCTGCAGAAAATTTAACTTACTTGAATGAACCCAAAAATGTTCATAGAAACCGCTCCAACAATATTCAAGATGGACACTTTTTCCAGTGGTATACGGTGCTTGAATGTGTACAGGTCGTTTTCGTTTACATATACCTGATGAAAAGATTTAGCAATAGCCAATATAAAGAGATGCTCTTGGCTTTTTTTAAAGAATGAAATGAGTATTGTTCCTTAAATCACAAACCTGATATCCTTCAGATTTGATGACCATGAACATCTCAAAAGCTTCCCCCTTTTTAAAAGGGTTGTTGGAGACACTCTCCTGAGTTTCCCATGCTCCATTCCTGAAGCTGTTCATGTCCAAATTCTGGCCCATTAGGGGGTTAAAGTGGAAAGCAATGTCATCACTGCCAGACTGCCCAGTCTTGAAATTGATCTCAAATCTATAATAAAGATGATATATGTTAAAGCACTCACTATAGACCACTGATAGTCTAACCCTTACTCTCCCATTCACTCATACAGACAACTGATTTTCTCCTGTGCACCTATAATGCATGTGTTTCAACTGTGGGGTAACTCGGAGCACCTGGAGGAAACCTACCCAAACACTGGGAGAACATGCAAATTCCTCACAGAAAGACTTGCTGGTCCAGCCTGAACCCAAACCAGCAACCTTCTTGCTTTAAAGCTGCCATGCTAACCACTTGCCCAATGTTACAGTTATGAAGTCCAATGAGCTGTAAAGTTTGTATTCCATTCTCTAACTGTCCATATGATTTCTTACTTGTCAGCATTAGGAGGAACAACACCCTGGAAGTACAAGGCCATGCCTTCTCTCAGTCCTCCAGAAATTGAGCCCACATAAGGAAGGTTCTGCAGAACACAAAAACAGGAATCAGCTTTTATTCATTATACTCTTGTTGGAGGATTTGAACATAATAAGGTATATGCCGAGCCAGTGTTGTTCCCATACTGATAAACTTCCTGACCTGTTATTGTGAATTATTTTCCATTTTATATTATTCGTTTTACAGCATCGATGTTGTAATGTAATCAAAATACAATCAGTTAAAAAGACTTTGGCATTCATTTATTTGCTCAAGCGTAAAACGAGACAAGAAGGTAGCGCCGGTCAGAATCAGGAGGCTAGCGCAGAAGCTCCATTGAATATACTGTGGTAAAATAAATGCTTGTATTATAAAGACATTGTGGGGGAAAATGTAATTTACTGCAGTGCTTCTGTACAATCCGAGACCAACTTTATATCAGATATCATTCAGCCAGTGGAGATCACTGATTTTTAAAGAAAACAGACCTTAAACGAGCCGGTTTTGCATTGGCATACAGTTCACCGGAAGCGCTTAACCCAGGTTACTGGCAAATTAAAAGTCCTGGTAGCATGCGTCAGCATATACCCTATAAAATTTGATGGTTTAGAAGTTGCGCAATTTTGAAATAGGTCATCAGAAATTATGCTGAATCAGTTGCTCTTAGGGTTTTCTTGTGTGGCAGTTTCATTATGTGCTTTCACGTAGTCATGCGTTTAAAATTATCTGGAAGGAATCTTTCACTCACAGGGTTTTGGACTGCTTGCACGATCTCTGAGTGTGTGGTTGATTGCTCCAGATGTGAGCTGCCCAGACTGGTGTATGTTGACTTGACTTGGGTAGCAAATGAGGATTTGCTCCAGTTCTGTTGAGGAAACAGTAAATGTCTTTAGAAAGCTCTTTATTCTCCACATCATTGTCAGTGGATTCAGACACTAAATCCTTTATGTTGCAATATTGCCTTTACTGCAGATAATGTGACTTACTTGAATGAAGCCCAAAAGATTTACTGCAACACCTCCAAATATATTTAAGGTGGACACTTTTTCTAGTTGCATACGGTGCTTGAATGTGTGCAGCACCTTGCCGTTCACATACACCTGATGAACAGAGTAAGAACAGTCAGTAAAGAAAAGCTCTTAGCTTTCGTTTAGGGATGCAGAAAGCTTTGTGTAAATGCACATACTTGATATCCTTCTGGCTGGAGGACGGTGAGCATCTCAAAATCTTGTCCCTTTGTAAAAGGGTTGTCTGAGACACTTTCCTCAGTTTCCCATGCTCCATTCCTGAAGCTGTTCATGACCACCTTCTGGCCCATTTGGGGGTTGAAGTGGAAAGCAATGTCATCACTGCCAGACTGCCCAGTCTTGAAATTGATCTCAAATCTGGATTGAATTTGAATTATATTAAAACATCCAAATCCAAATTGCATTGATTTATCTAAACAAAATGGTTTCTTACTTGTCAGCATTAGGAGGAACAACACCCTGCAAGTACACGGCCATGCCTTCTCTCAGCCCTCCTGAAATGGGGCCAACATAAGGAAGATTCTGCGAGGAAAAAACAAAACCATTGACATCAGCCTACCTGTATATTAACTGTGCAGGATTGGAGTGAACTGCGTTTTATAAATGAGTGTTAGCAGTACATGAGCTGACCTTGGGTGAAAGAGAGTGTACATGTGTACAGTACATACAGCTCAGTATAACATTGCGCTACCCCAATAACATGCACTGTTCAGAAGCTCTGTACTAGATTCTTGTTGAAGGATTTTAACTTATTAAAACAGGAAAATGTGAAATTTCAGGAATTTTTAAAATAGCTATCACATTCCTGAAACTAGTGGGGAAATTGTCCTTGATTGAAATAAAGCAGTAGTTGCTAAGGAGCTATGGTATGGTTTACAGTAAATTTGCAACAACTATGGGGCATTGCTCAGGACTGATTGTGTAATTGTTGCCAAGAAACAATTACAGGTGTACAGGTGTATGATTTGAATAAGTTAATACAGCTCTGAACACGGCTCAAAGAAACTGTATCAAGGAACAGAACTACCTGTTTTACATGTGCACTACTTTCTACATGACGTGTTTTTCATTTGTGTGATTGGAAGAGTCACTGGAAAAGGATTTGTAACTCACAGGGTTTTGGACTGCTTGAGAGATCTCCGAGTGTATGCTGGACTGTTCCTTGTGTGAGCTTCCCATACAGGTGATAGTGGACTTGACTTTGGTACAAAATGAAGATTTGCTCCAGTTCTATTGGGAAAAGAATTAGATAAAGCATTTTGAAAGATCTTTCGATCTTCACAGCATTCAGTGTTGTTTCAGTGATGCTGCAATATTGCCTCAACTGCAAAAAAAGTAACTTACTTCAATAAAGCCCAAAAGCTTGACTGAAACTCCTCCAACAATACTCAATGTGGACACTTTTTCCAGTGGTATTCGGTGCTTGAATGTGTAATGTTCCTTGCCATTCACATACACCTGATGAACAGAACCAGTAAGTGTGTGCAAAAAAACTCTTGCATTACATTTAGTTAGGTGGTACGTTCTGGAACTTAAACCACAAACCTGATATCCTTCAGATTTGATGACAGTGAACATCTCAAAAGCTTCCCCCTTTTTAAATGGGTTGTTGGAGACACTCTCCTGAGTTTCCCATTTTCCGTTCCTGAAGCTGTTCATGGCCACAATCTGGCCCATTCGGGGGTTAAAGTGGAAAGCAGTGTCATCACTGCCAGACTGCCCAGTCTTAAAATTGATTTGAAATCTATAATAAAGTTGAAATGCGTTATGTTTTTTAAATCCAAGCAATAATTAACCAATTTTGTCAGATTTTCCATCTGTCAAACAAAATTACTTACTTGTCAGCATTAGGAGGAACAACACCCTGCAAGTACACGGCCATGCCCTCTCTCAGTCCTCCTGAAATGGGGCCAACATAAGGAATGCTCTGCAGGGAACACAATAACATGTGTCTGTCTTTAACTGTGTTATCTGATATTGTTTGGCACAATTTTATGAATGAGTATGAAGCTTTAAAATTTCAGTAATTTTTACTGAAACTGTGATGAGACATATGGTTTCAGGTAAAACAAGTTTCATCACAATTATTTTTACTTTAATCCTATTCTTACACTTCTGAAAACAAAACGCTCACTTACAGGGTGTTGGACTGGTTGTGAGATCTCCAAGTGTGTGGTAGACTGTTCCCCATGTGAGCCGCCCAGGCTGGAGATTGTTGACTTGGCTTGAGGAACAAGTGAGGATGTGCTCCAGTTCTTAAAAGAGAGAGAAATTACAAAGTGTCATTCATGTTGAAATATTGCCACATCTGAAGAAAACACAGCTTACTTGTATGGAGCCAAGAGAGTTGATGGCAACATTTCCACTGATATTTAATGTTGACAATCTTTCCAGTGGTAGACGGTGCTTGAATGTGCACAGTTCTTTGTCATTCACGTACACCTGATGATCCAAACCAACACATTGCAATTAAGGCGAAGTTTCTAGCCACCTTTTAGGACTATGCAGTGTGATTTATATCACATAATAAGTACCTGATATCCAGCAGATGTGATGGCAGTCAACATACTAAAATGTTGTCCTTTTTTAAAGGGGTTGTCTGAGACACTTTCCTCAGTTTCCCATGCTCCATTCCTGAAGCTGTTCATGGTCACCTTCTGGCCCATTCGGGGGTTGAAGTGGAAAGCAATGTCATCACTGCCAGACTGCCCAGTCTTGAAATTGATCTCAAATCTACATTGAAGTTAAAGGATGTTACAACAACCATTCCCACATACCACTAACCAATATTTGTTCATTTACACAAACTGTTCAACAAGGCAATGCCTTACTGGTCAGCATTATCAGGAACAACACCCTGCATGAACATGGCCATGCCTTCTCTCAGTCCTCCAGGAATTTGGTCCACATAAGGAATATTCTGTAGAAAACACAATAGCTTTATCCTACGCTGACTATGATCTTGTGGCAGATTTTCAGCTTTACAGTACAGGAATGTAGAATTATTTCAGACTTTTTAGATTGGTCATCACAATCCTGAAACTTTAGTGAGAAATCTAGTCATGTTTGAAATAAAAAGGCAATAAGGGCTTTCACCGTAAAGGATCAGTCACTCACTGGGTTTTGGATTGACTGTGAGATCTCCAAGTTGTTTACAGCAACGTCTCCACTGATATTTAATGCTGACACTCTTTCAAGAGGTGTACGGTGCTTGAATATGCACTGTTCTTTGCCATTCACTTGCACCTGATGAACCAAAACAACACAACCCATAAGGGGACACGCTCCTAGCTTTCTTTTATAGGTGTGGCTAGCTGATCTTCTTACAACACTTACCTGATATCCTTCAGGTTTGATCATAGTCAACATCTCAAATGGTTCTCCCTTTTTAAAAGGGTTGTCAGAGATAATTTCTTCTGTTCCAGATTGTCCATTTATTACGCTGTTCATGGCCACGTTCTTATCCAGCCGAGGGTTGAAATGGAAAGCAGTGTCATCATCACCAGACTGCCCAGTCTTGAAATTGATTTCAAATCTGCATAAGTTTGGAAATATGTTAAAGCAACAAAATCCAGCTTATTGTAAATAGTTTATGTTCAATTTCATGTTAGGCACAAATAATTATTAACCTGTCAGCATTGGCAGGAACAGCTCCCTTCATGTACAAGATCATGCCTTCTTTCAGTCCTCCGGGAATCTGGACCGCCTTAGTAAGTTTCTGCAGTAACCACAAGAAAACAAGCATTTTTCTCATATTAACTAGAATTTTGTAAGAGGATTTCTGAATGGGTATACACAATGAGATTGTTTAGGTTGATCAACACAATCATGAAGCTATAATGAGACATGTGTGCATGGATTAAACAGTTCTCACATGGTTGTTTAACAAGCTGTTTTTGCTTTGTTGTGCATTAAGAATTGATAGGATAGGATCAGTTACTCACAGGGTGTTGGACTGGTTGCGAGATCTCCAAGTGTGTGCTGGACCATTTCCCATGAGAGCTGCCCTGGCTGGGTATTGCTGACCTGGCTTGAGCAACAGGTGAGGATGTGCTCCAGTTCTAATGAAGAACAGAAAGAGAGAGAATTTATACTATTTACTATTTTCCACATCATTGTCAGTAGTTTCTGATGTAGTGTCAGTTGTGCTGAAATGTTGCCAAAACTGAGGAAAACACAGCTTACTTGTATGGAGCCAAGAGAGTTGATGGCAACATTTCCACTGATATTTAATGTTGACAATCTTTCCAGTGGTAGACGGTGCTTGAATGTGCACAGTTCTTTGTCATTCACGTACACCTGATGATCCAAACCAACACATTGCATTTAAGGACAGGATTCTAGCCTCCTTTTTGGACTATGTAGTGGGATTTATGTTGCAAAAAAGTACCTGATATCCTGCAGATGTGATGGCAGTCAGCATCTTAAAGTGTTGTCCCTTTGTAAAGGGGTTGTCTGAGACACTTTCCTCAGTTTCCCATGCTCCATTCCTGAAGCTGTTCATGACCACCTTCTGGCCCATTTGGGGTTTAAAGTGGAAAGCAATGTCATCACTGCCAGACTGCCCAGTCTTGAAATTGATCTCAAATCTATAATGAAATTGAAGGACGTTACAGCAGCCATTCTCAAATAGCACCAAATAATTTTTGTTCATTTAACCCTTTGATGCACTACAATGGTCTAAAGTGACCTGTCTAAGCTTATTTTTTCTATATCTATTTTATAGCTTGTGCATCAAAGGATTAAGTAAACTGTTCAACAAAGCAATGGCTTACTGGTCAGCATTATCAGGAACAACACCCTGCATGAACAGGGCCATGCCTTCTCTCAGTCCTCCGGGAACTTGGCCCACATAAGGAATATTCTGCAGAAAACACAAGAAAATGTGCATTATCTTACATTGACTAGATTGTTGTGGCAGATTTTCAGCTTTACAGTATGGGAACGTTAAATTTGTTAATGATTAAATTTGCCATCACAATCCTGAAACTTTAGTGAGAAATCTAGTCTTGTTTAAAACAAAAAGGCAATAAGGGCTTTCACCGTAAAGGATCAGTCACTCACTGGGTTTTGGATTGACTGCAAGATCTCCAAGTTGTTTACAGCAACGTCTCCACCGATATTTAATGCTGACACTCTTTCAAGAGGTGTACGGTGCTTGAATATGCACTGTTCTTTGCCATTCACTTGCACCTGATGAACCAAAACAACACAACCCATAAGGGGACACGCTCCTAGCTTTCTTTTATAGGTGTGGCTAGCTGATCTTCTTACAACACTTACCTGATATCCTTCAGGTTTGATGATAGTTAACATCTCAAATGGTTCTCCCTTTTTAAAAGGGTTGTCAGAGATAATTTCTTCTGTTCCAGATTGTCCATTTATTACGCTGTTCATGGCCACGTTCTTATCCAGCCGAGGGTTGAAATGGAAAGCAGTGTCATCATCACCAGACTGCCCAGTCTTGAAATTGATTTCAAATCTGCATAAGGTTGGAAATAAGTTAAAACAACAAAATCGAGCTTATTGTAAGTAGTATTCATTCAATTTCATGTTATGCACAAATGGATATTAACCTGTCAGCATTGGCAGGAACAGCTCCCTTCATGTACAAGATCATGCCTTCTTTCAGTCCTCCAGGAATCTGGACCACCTTATGAAGTTTCTGCAGTAACCACAAGAAAACAGGCATTTTCTTATAGTAACAAGAACTTTGTGGCTGGATTTCTGGATGAGTATATGAAATGACATTGTTTAGGTTGGTCAACACAATCATCAAACTATGTTGAGACAAGTGCCCTTGGATGAAACACTTGTTGAACACTTGTCACGCTGTTGTGCATTCATTAGTGAAAGGATAGGATCAGTCACTTACAGGTTGTTGGACTGGTTGTGAGATCTCCAAGTGTGTGGTGGACCATTTTCCAGATGACCTTCCCAGGCTGGGGATTGATGACTTGGCTTGAGTAACGGGTGAGGATGTGCTCCAGTTCTAAAAGAGAATTTACAAAGATTTTTACTTTCCACATCTTTGTCAGTAGTTTCTGATGTAGTGTCAGTTGTGCTGAAATGTTGCCAAAACTGAGGAAAACACAGCTTACTTGTATGGAGCCAAGAGAGCTGATGGCAACATTTCCACTGATATTTAATGTTGACAATCTTTCCAGTGGTAGACGGTGCTTGAATGAGCACAGTTCTTTGTCATTCACGTACACCTGATGATCCAAACCAACACATTGCAAATAGGAGAAGATTCTATCTTCCTTTTTGGACTATGTAGTGGGATTTATGTTGCAAAAAAGTACCTGATATCCAGCAGATGTGATGGCAGTCAGCATCTTAAAGTGTTGTCCCTTTGTAAAAGGGTTGTCTGAGACACTTTCCTCAGTTTCCCATGCTCCATTCCTGAAGCTGTTCATGACCACCTTCTGGCCCATTCGGGGGTTGAAGTGGAAAGCAATGTCATCACTGCCAGACTGCCCAGTCTTAAAATTGATCTCAAATCTATATAGAAGTTAAAGGATGTTACAGCAACCATTCCTAAATAGCACCAAACCTTTTGTTCTTTTAAGCAAACTGTTCAACAAAGCAATGGCTTACTGGTCAGCATTATCAGGAACAACACCCTGCATGAACAGGGCCATGCCTTCTCTCAGTCCTCCAGGAACCTGGCCCACATAAGGAATATTCTAAAGTAAACATAAAAAAATGTATATTGTTACTCTAATTATATTATCATGGCAGATTTTTAGCTTTACAGTAAGTGAATGTAGAATTTTTCTATTGATTCTACTGGTCATCACAATCCAGAAACTGTGGTGATAAATGTACTTTTGTTTAAAACCAAAAGCCAATATCAGCTTTCACCGTAAAGGATCAGTCACTCACTGGGTTTTGGATTGACTGTGAGATCTCCAAGTTGTTTACAGCAACGTCTCCACCGATATTTAATGCTGACACTCTTTCAAGAGGTGTACGGTGCTTGAATATGCACTGTTCTTTGCCATTCACTTGCACCTGATGAACCAAAACAACACAACCCATAAGGGGACACGCTCCTAGCTTTCTTTTATAGGTGTGGCTAGCTGATCTTCTTACAACACTTACCTGATATCCTTCAGGTTTGATGATAGTTAACATCTCAAATGGTTCTCCCTTTTTAAAAGGGTTGTCAGAGATAATTTCTTCTGTTCCAGATTGTCCATTTATTACGCTGTTCATGGCCACGTTCTTATCCAGCCGAGGGTTGAAATGGAAAGCAGTGTCATCATCACCAGACTGCCCAGTCTTGAAATTGATTTCAAATCTGCATAAGGTTGGAAATATGTTAAAGCAACAAAATCCAGCTTATTGTAAATAGTTTATGTTCAATTTCATGTTAGGCACAAATGATTATTAACCTGTCAGCATTGGCAGGAACAGCTCCCTTCATGTACAAGATCATGCCTTCTTTCAGTCCTCCGGGAATCTGGACCACACGAGGAAGATTCTGCAGTAACCACAAGAAAATAGGCATTTTCTTATAGTAACAAGAACTTTGTGGCTGGATTTCTGGATGAGTATATGAAATGACATTGTTTAGGTTGGTCAACACAATCATCAAACTATGTTGAGACAAGTGCCCTTGGATGAAACACTTGTTGAACACTTGTCACGCTGTTGTGCATTCATTAGTGAAAGGATAGGATCAGTCACTTACAGGTTGTTGGACTGGTTGCGAGATCTCCAAGTGTGTGCTGGACCATTTCCTATGTGTGCTGCCGTGGCTGGGGATTGTTGACTTGGCTTGAGTAACGGGTGAGGATGTGCTCCAGTTCTAAAAAGAGAATTTACAAAGATTTTTACTTTCCACTTCTTTGTCTGTAGTTTCTGATGTAGTGTCAGTTGTGCTGAAATGTTGCCAAAACTGAGGAAAACACAGCTTACTTGTATGGAGCCAAGAGAGTTGATGGCAACATTTCCACTGATATTTAATGTTGACAATCTTTCCAGTGGTAGACGGTGCTTGAATGTGCACAGTTCTTTGTCATTCACGTACACCTGATGATCCAAACCAACACATTGCATTTAAGGACAGGATTCTAGCCTCCTTTTTGGACTATGTAGTGGGATTTATGTTGCAAAAAAGTACCTGATATCCTGCAGATGTGATGGCAGTCAGCATCTTAAAGTGTTGTCCCTTTGTAAAGGGGTTGTCTGAGACACTTTCCTCAGTTTCCCATGCTCCATTCCTGAAGCTGTTCATGACCACCTTCTGGCCCATTTGGGGTTTAAAGTGGAAAGCAATGTCATCACTGCCAGACTGCCCAGTCTTGAAGTTGATCTCAAATCTATAATGAAATTGAAGGACGTTACAGCAGCCATTCTCAATTAGCACCAAATAATTTTTGTTCATTTAACCCTTTGATGCACTACAATGGTCTAAAGTGACCTGTCTAAGCTTATTTTTTCTATATCTATTTTATTGCTTGTGCATCAAAGGATTAAGTAAACTGTTCAACAAAGCAATGGCTTACTGGTCAGCATTATCAGGAACAACACCCTGCATGAACAGGGCCATGCCTTCTCTCAGTCCTCCGGGAACTTGGCCCACATAAGGAATAATCTGCAGAAAACACAAGAAAATGTGCATTATCTTACATTGACTAGATTGTTGTGGCAGATTTTCAGCTTTACAGTATGGGAACGTTAAATTTGTTAATGATTAAATTTGCCATCACAATCCTGAAACTTTAGTGAGAAATCTAGTCTTGTTTAAAACAAAAAGGCAATAAGGGCTTTCACCGTAAAGGATCAGTCACTCACTGGGTTTTGGATTGACTGTGAGATCTCCAAGTTGTTTACAGCAACGTCTCCACTGATATTTAATGCTGACACTCTTTCAAGAGGTGTACGGTGCTTGAATATGCACTGTTCTTTGCCATTCACTTGCACCTGATGAACCAAAACAACACAACCCATAAGGGGACACGCTCCTAGCTTTCTTTTATAGGTGTGGCTAGCTGATCTTCTTACAACACTTACCTGATATCCTTCAGGTTTGATGATAGTTAACATCTCAAATGGTTCTCCCTTTTTAAAAGGGTTGTCAGAGATAATTTCTTCTGTTCCAGATTGTCCATTTATTACGCTGTTCATGGCCACGTTCTTATCCAGCCGAGGGTTGAAATGGAAAGCAGTGTCATCATCACCAGACTGCCCAGTCTTGAAATTGATTTCAAATCTGCATAAGGTTGGAAATAAGTTAAAACAACAAAATCCAGCTAATAGTAAGTAGTATTCATTCAATTTCATGTTATGCACAAATGGATATTAACCTGTCAGCATTGGCAGGAACAGCTCCCTTCATGTACAAGATCATGCCTTCTTTCAGTCCTCCGGGAATCTGGACCACACGAGCAAGTTTCTGCAGTAACCACAAGAAAATAGAAATTATTCTATTTTTAGTAATTGTTTGCAGCAGGATTCCAACTTTCCAAGGGTATGTAGCTTTTCATTGTTTAGATTGGTCATCACAATCCTGAAACTATGGTGGTACAAGTGATCTTGGATGAAATGGTTGTCATATCCTTGTTTGATTAGCTGTTTTTACTTTGTTGTGCATTAAAAATTGAAAGGATAGGATCAGTCACTCACAGGTTGTTGGACTGGTTGCGAGATCTCCAAGTGTGTGCTGGACCATTTCCCATGTGTGCTGCCGTGGCTGGGGATTGTTGACTTGGCTTGAGTAACGGGTGAGGATGTGCTCCAGTTCTAAAAAGAGAATTTACAGAGATTTTTACTTTCCACATCATTGTCAGTAGTTCCTGCAGTTGTGCTGAAATATTTCCACATCTGAGGAAAACACAGCTTACTTGTATGGAGCCAAGAGAGTTGATGGCAACATTTCCACTGATATTTAATGTTGACAATCTTTCCAGTGGTAGACGGTGCTTGAATGTGCACAGTTCTTTGTCATTCACGTACACCTGATGATCCAAACCAACACATTGCATTTAAGGACAGGATTCTATCTTCCTTTTTGGACTATATAGTGGGATTTGTGTTGTAAAATAAGTACCTGATATCCAGCAGATGTGATGGCAGTCAGCATCTTAAAGTGTTGTCCCTTTGTAAAGGGGTTGTCTGAGACACTTTCCTCAGTTTCCCATGCTCCATTCCTGAAGCTGTTCATGACCACCTTCTGGCCCATTCGGGGGTTGAAGTGGAAAGCAATGTCATCACTGCCAGACTGCCCAGTCTTAAAATTGATTTCAAATCTATAATGAAATTGAAGGACGTTACAGCAAACATTCTCAAATAGCACCAAATAATTTTTTACACAAACTGTTCAACAAAGCAATGGCTTACTGGTCAGCATTATCAGGAACAACACCCTGCATGAACAGGGCCATGCCTTCTCTCAGTCCTCCAGGAACTTGGCCCACATAAGGAATATTCTGCAGTTAATGCAATAAATTAGGCATTATCTCACAGTGACTAGATTCCTGTGGTTTATTTTCAACTTTACAGTATGAGAACATTTTTTAGGGGGGTTTTGTAGATCAAAGATCAAAGCCAATATCAGCTTACACCGTAAAGGATCAGTCACTCACTGGGTTTTGGATTGACTGTGAGATCTCCAAGTTGTTTACAGCAACGTCTCCGCTGATATTTAATGCTGACACTCTTTCAAGAGGTGTACGGTGCTTGAATATGCACTGTTCTTTGCCATTCACTTGCACCTGATGAACCAAAACAACACAACCCATAAGGGGACACGCTCCTAGCTTTCTTTTATAGGTGTGGCTAGCTGATCTTCTTACAACACTTACCTGATATCCTTCAGGTTTGATGATAGTTAACATCTCAAATGGTTCTCCCTTTTTAAAAGGGTTGTCGGAGATAATTTCTTCTGTTCCAGATTGTCCATTTATTATGCTGTTCATGGCCACGTTCTTATCCATCCGAGGGTTGAAATGGAAAGCAGTGTCATCATCACCAGACTGCCCAGTCTTGAAATTGATTTCAAATCTGGATAAGGTTGGAAATAAGTAAACAAATTAATTTATCAGTACTTAGTTTTTGTCCATTTTAATAAAAGGCAAAAATTATTACAAACCTGTCAGCATTGGCAGGAACAGCTCCCTTCATGTACAAGATCATGCCTTCTTTCAGTCCTCCGGGAATCTGGACCACACGAGGAAGATTCTGCAGTAACCACAAGAAATTAAGCATTTTTCTCATATTAACCAGATTTTAGAATCTGTGGTAAGACATATGGTTTATGGTGAAACCGTTCTAGTGCACTTGTTTCATTAGGTGTTTTTATTTTGTTGTGCATTCATTAGTGAAATGATAGTATCGTCCACTCACAGGGTGTTGGACTGGTTGTGAAATTTCATAGTGTGTGCTGGACCATTTCCCATGTGAGCTGCCGAGGCTGGTGAATGTTTTTGTGTCTCTGGTAGGGAATGCAGAAGTGCTCAAGTTCTAACCAAAGAACAGAGAGAGGATATATTTATAAAGTTCTGTAGTCTTTGCATTATTTGATAGTGGATTCTGGGACAGTTTAATTTTTTTATGTTATTTTGGCTTACCTGCAGAAAATGTAACTTACTTGAATGAAGCCAAAAAGGTTCAGGGTTACATCTCCACCAATATTCAACACTGCCACCTTTTCCAGTGGTATATGATGCTTGAATGTGTACAGTTCCTTGCCGTTCACATAAACCTTATGAACCACAATACAGCCTGCATGAGGACAAGTTCTGCTTTTTGAATGTGTGTGTTTAGTTCCATGCCTCATACAAAGTACCTGATATCCTGCAGATGTGATGGCAGTCAACATCTCAAAATCTTGCCCCTTTTTAAAGGGGTTGTCTGAGACACTTTCCTCAGTTCCCCATGCTCCGTTCTGGAAACTGTTCATGGTCACCTTCTGCTCCATTCGAGGGTTGAAGTGGAAAGCAACGTCATCCTTGTCAGAAATCCCAGTCTTGAAATTTAGTGCAAATCTGCATTGAAATTTGAACATGTTGAAGGAACTGTGCTTGGTGCAAGTCGATGTTAAAGGTGTTAGCTGTGTCATGCAGAAGCACTAATTCTTTCACTCGTCCGCTGTGTTTTTATCAATAGTCTTTTACTGTATTAAAAATCAATTAGTTCTGTTAGAGAAAAGACACTAAAACTGAATGGCTTGCATCACAGTTAAGCAGAAAGACGTGACTTGGCAGATCATCGCCATTGTTAGAGTAAATAAAATTACTATGAGGCAACACTAAAACAATCACCCTGCCCCTGGTGAGACCAGTATTACTGATAAATGACTGAAATTCAAAACTGAAACTAGCAAAATCCAACTAAATCTGAATTAATGTAAATGTAAAAACTATTTCTTACCGATCAGCATTATTAGGAACAACTCCTTTGACATACAAGGCCATGCCTTCTCTCAGTCCTCCTGAAATAGGGCCCACATAAGGGAGTTTCTGAGGGGAGCATAAGACAACTATTGAGCTATTACCATTAATAAATAAATTAGTGTACATTCACATTTCAAGGCCAATTTAGTAAATCAGACCCCAATTCTTCTGCTTTTGAAGTATTTGAACTTTTAAATGTTGTTCTAACATAAAAGAGTGTCATTACTCCTGAAACTATTATGTGTACATTTCCTTTTAGTTGATACACTCTTTTTTACACACTGTTTAAGCTTGATGTGTTCCAGCATAGTTTGTGTTACTCACAGGATTTTGGACTGGGTTGCTTAAGGAAAGTTCAGTTGTCAGATGGGTAGTTGACGGATGATGTTTGGTCTCAGTGAAAGACCAGGTTCCCTCCCGCATAGATGAATGTCCTCTAAAAACCCCATGATGTGAGTGATGCATGCCTCTGCCACCCCTGATGCTAGAAGACCCAGACCAGCCCTGTAAAAGCAAGATAGTAACCATTGAAATAAACAGGACTTTATTTTCCACCGTTTCTTTAGAGGATTGTTAAAAGATTTCAGGCACTCGTCTCAATGGCTCAAACCTAATTGTGGTTGTACCCCTTTCCTCCACTATATTGTAAATGACATTATTGAAGGATTTTGCTGCTTTTAATGGGACCTATTCTGCCCCTTTTTACAACATGTCAAATGTGTGTCTGCCGTCTCTAGAGTGTGTAGTGACGTTTCAGCTGAAAATCGCTCCCAGATAATGTTTAAAACTGACCCCTTCAGGCTTTGATCTCAGTTGTGGCGTTTTGGTCACTGTCTCTTTAAATTAAAATGAGAGAGTCTATGCTGACATGATCTTCAGCAGCTCAAACACTCTAATGGCTAATGGTCAGACGGCTGCTTCTCACTCAGGCCTGCTGGACATGCTAATGAGAGGGAGAGATGGCCACTAGTGGACGGGGCTTTCCCCTTTGATGACACGTACAAAGGGAGAATGTCAATCAAAGTGTTTCTGCATCAAGTCTGATTATAAGAAACACAATTCACTCATGTTTAGCATTAGAGGCTGAATATATGTACACAAAACACAACTTAAACCCCCTATAAAAGTGATTTCTGCTTAATAGGTGCCCTTTAAGGCTTATACACACCAAGCAGATGTCAAGAACTAGAAATCTTCAAAGAAACACTGACCTCGGTGAACATCACGTTTGTTAAAGAAACCCCTCCTGCGACAGCCAGAGTGTTGACGCGTTCCAGAGATATACGATGCTGAAAACAACCGACTTCTTGTCCACTCAAAAACACCTGCAGATGAAAAATGACTTTAATTAATATGTCCTAATTGATCTTGTATACTGAAAAAAGTGAATACTTTCATTCAAAGTACATTTTACTATTGGATTAATTGAAAAATTATGGTTTCTTATTAAAACCTGTTTTATTAAATTTGCCTTAAAACAAAAAACAAGTTAAAAACTAAACTTTAAACCAAAGTTCAATTACAATTTAAGAAAAGCTAAAAGGTCTAATTGTAAAATAGTCTTGGCATGTTGCACTTATATAGTATAAAGCATCAAAACTCACCTGATAACCTTCAGAATTCACTGCAATGTTCAGATCAAAACTGCTCCCCGGTTTTAAAGGAAAGTCCAGTTTCTCCTCTTTTCCCCATGATCCGTTTTGGCGGCTGTTTACCGCAGTGAAGTTACTGATAAACTGAGGCTTCATTTGAAAGGCGATGTCATCCCCGTCAGACTCTCCACACTTCAGATTCACCACAAAGCTGCAGAGGTAACATGAAAGAGAGAAGAAATTAAAGTCTAAAGAGTCCACACTGCGAAATAAAAATGCTTTGGTCCTTGTTTCTAGTTTAAATATGTTTTTAAAATTAAGAGGCATTTTCCAGACAAAGGTTTTTGGTTTAAAAATAAACAGATTTTTAACATTCATAATCCAATAAGTACCTTTAAAATAAAGTAAATTAAAAAAACAAAAAAACAAAAAAAACGTAAACCATACAATGTTTTCAAAGTATTTGATATTAGAAATCATACTAGGTAAGCAATTCTTAAGTTTAAAAGGCTATTTTTAAATAACAAATCTGTGTAAGTGTTATCTTAATATTATTAATTAATGTGTAATTAATTAAATTACACATTGTATAAATATTAAACTATTGTATAAATACTAAAACTAAAAAACAAGTTTTAAAAATATTGTTTTTCAGAAAGGTCAATATTTAGTGAGTTTTTTCCTCAAAACAAACAAAATAATCTGCCTATTACTGAATTTCCTTCCGGACCAATATCATATATTGCTAATTTAACAGTGGGGTAAGCAAAATAATGTTTCTAGATTATTTCTCTTCCCCAATTATTGTGCTTGTTTTAAGGAGAAACTCACTTTATTTTGACTGATTATTACTGAAAACAAGACTACATTTAGTGCTTGTCTAGAAAATGGTGACTGATTTCAGAATTTGATATGTGGACTAGAAACAAGACAAAAACTCTTAGAAAAGATTCACCCATCAGATCCAGCAGGAACAGCTCCCTGGATGAAGACGCCTTTCCCAGCTTTCAGTCCTCCATGAATTCGGCTCACATAAGGGACGCTCTGCATAATATGAATGTGTTGTCAAAAAAATTATTTTCAAGACAGAACCACATTGAAATTGGTAAAAGGAAGCCAAGGCTGCACAATACATCATTTCATTATCATTATGACAAAAATGTGTTTCTTACTTAGACTATTTTATCCTGGTTCTAGTCCAAATATCTAAAAATTCTTAAATAAAGAATAATTTTTTTAGACAAGCAAAACATAATTTCAGAAATAATGAGGCAAAATCAACAGAGTTTTCCCTTTAAACAAGAAAAATAATCTGCCAGTGGGGTAAACAAAATAATCTCATGCCAGAAGGAAAAACTTGATTATTTTGCTTACCTTGTTGGCAGATTAATTAACTTAATTTTGGCATATTATTTCTTTAAAAAAGACAATATATTTAGCTTCTTTAGAAAATGCTTCTTGGTTTAAGAATTTTTAGATATTTAGACTAGAAACACGATAAAAAATATTTGGACCAGAATTATCGCAAAATCTCTAAGTAAATTTTATGCAGTGAATATTTAATTACTTTATCTGAATACTGAAAACCATAAAACTTCATTTATTTAATGTGTTTATTGTTATTGTATTAATCCATGCTTGTAGATTGTTTATTAGATTTCATGTAGATGCGCTGCCCTACAAAATCATCCCAATCAATCTAAAACTAAAAACTCTTTTCAAATATTAATAGTCTTTTCAGTTTATAATGTTCAGCAGACTCGGGTATAATATCTGATTTCTAGAGCTGCACAGTATCATTATAAGAGTATATGGAATATACTTATTACAGTCGTGTGATAAACTAAATTACATATGTTTTATGCAGCAGTTGTTTATCTAAATTTGACCAATTAGATGTAGCCCTACTCTCTTTAGCCTTGCTAAATGTGTAACCCTGACATAGATTGGTCTGAATTAGATCTGAAAAAAATATATGTTTATCCTGTTTAATGTAATGTCACTACAAAACTAAATGGTTTAAGTAATCATGAGAAATCTCATTATTAAAATACTCAATAACAATATGGCATAAAAGTCTAACTCACAAAGCCGGAGGTGGTGTGGCAGCTTGACCTGCAGCCCGACTTTAATTTGAAGCTCATGTTGGTCACTGAAAGTGAAGATGTTAAAGATGCACTGATGGATTCTGGATTCAGGATGAGCCTTATAGATCGTGCTGTGGCTTTTATACTGTCAACCGGTGGGCGTGCAGCCTTCAGGGTGCTTTTAGCCTAAAGGCGTTTCAAAATAAGCTTCAAAAGTTCATGTTGGTCTTGCAAACTAAGGGCAAACGCTCAAGTCATCATGCCAGGATCATTTGCATTCTTCAACAGTTTTGCCCAAAGCCACCATGCACATCAAAGTTCATTTTACATTTCACCTGAGTTCAATTTTTGCAGTAATTTGCATTTTGCATATTAAAATAAGAGTGGAGGCGAGTGGACAAATACAGTGCGTTTACATTACATTAGATAAAAACAATGTTGATGCACATTCCCTCATGTCTGCTTGTATTAGTGATGATGATTCAGCCATTCAGTTTAAAACAATGATCTAAATATTCATGTTTAACTCATTAGTGGTGTAATGAGTTTAACTGATAATAACTGGGGAATGAAGCGGGTTTCAGCCTGAGGGAAAACTGCTTAACTTTGATTATCAAATGCTTCATTCAGCAGAATTCTCACAAGAATGAAGGAAAACATCCAGAATCAGACCATAAAACTGTCTGAAAAACACTCGCCCTCTCGTATATTCCGCTCATTTCTGAAAGGACGATTTCACATTATATCACTGTATGTTAGTAGTCTGCTATATGGTTCAGAAAAAGAAAACTAATTATTTATTTATTTTTTTAAGGAAATGTTTGGTACTGCATCAACATTTGTACTGAAATCTCAAAAAATAAAATAAAATAAAATTCTGATGAATATAATATAATAATGTGCAATATTAAGCTTATTATATTATATTATATTACATTATAGCAACATAGTGGCTCAGTGGTTTGCACTATTGCCCTACAGCACTCAGGTTGCTGGTTTGATTCTGAGCTGGGTCAGTTGGTGTTTCTGTGTGGAGTTTGCATGTTCTCCCTGTGTTTGTGGGTTTCCTCCAGGTGCTCCGGTTTCTCCCACAGTCCAAACACATGCTGCAGGTGAATTGGGTAGGCTACATTGTCTGTAGTGTATGAGTGTGTGTTAATGAGTGTGTATGGGTGTTTCCCACTACTGGGTTGCGGCTGGAAGGGCATCTGCAGTGTAAAACATGCTGGAATAATTGGCGGTTCATGTGGCGACCCCTGATGAATAAAGGGACTAAGCTGAAGGAAAATGAATTATATTATATAATATTACATTATTATATTATATTATATTATATTATATTATATTATATTATATTATATTATATTATATTATATTATTATATACTCGTAGATTCACATAATCAAAATCAACTGAACAGTTCAGCAAGAATATAGTAAATGAAATCCATAGCAAGACTTTGTACTTTGTTAAATTAAGTGTAAATATTGATGTGCTTTAGTTAAAGCGCTGACGGCCTTCCCTTCAGTATGCATGAACTGATGGTGTCGTTTACATCATAAGCATTATATGTCCTTTATTTTATTCTCTGTTTGGCAGTTTTGAGTTTAGTCAAATGAGTAATAAAATAATTAACTGTAGGAAAAAGGTGTTTTGTGAAGGAGCAGATGTTTGCATTTGATTCAGTTTAGTTGTGTGAATAGTTGTTTTTACTTGAATTAAATTAAATTTGTGTAATTAAGATAAAAAAGATGCTTGTTTGTACTAATATACAATTGAATATGTCACTAATAAGTTATGATAATTCATTTTTGTGTATGTACAGTACTCCAAATATTGAGAATGTATATTTTATTCATGCATTTCTCAGTGAATATAGACAATATATTTTGGTGCATTTAAGCAAACCTTTTTTATTAAAGTTATATCCGTTAAAATAAGAGTTTAGTCACTGAATATATTTAGAAATAAAAAGATAATACATTTATATTGCAAAAAATTAAAATAATAATAATGTAAACTACAACATTTCTGCTCAGTTTAATATTTTTTATGTTTCTCTTGATTTTTCCTGTTGATCATATTTTGTTTAATATGTTTCCCCAACATTAATTAGTGTGTAGTAATGTTTGCTCTGTGATCTTCAGTTTTAGTTAGATGAGTTGATCAGTTTTGTCTTCAGTTCTGACTAATCTCCTGTATCTGCACACATGTATTACTGTCGAGCATCCTGGAGGGAATATTACTGTATAAAGAGATCTGTGAGGCTCATTTATGCTCAACACTGTAAGTTATCTTCACATTAGACATAGTTTTTATTGTTATGTAACATACGTTAAGTTCAGGTGCACAACAGTAAATTACAGCGTGTTATAAAAATGTTCCTGCAGTGATAGATGTGAGCTCAGCCGAGGGCAGAAATGTGTGAAGACTGTGTGAACTAATGCAAAATACACAAATCATTTCCAGCCTGAAACCTTTGACAGCAGATCAGATGATATTCATAATTCTCACCAGGGTTTATTTGCAGAGTTTATTGTAAGGTTGAACATGTGTTTCAAGGGTTTCATTATGCAAAAAAATATATAACATGTAAATTTTTATTTTATATATTTAATAATGTAAATAATTTGACATTATTACATATATATTACATATACGCATTTGCAAAACAAATATGCCTTTCTGAATTAAATCTTGTCTTGTTTCTAATTCAGATATCTAATAATTTCTAAAAAGTATATTCTAAACAAGCAAAATATATTGTCTTATTTTCAGAAGATATAAGTCAAACTTAATTGAGCCTTTAATATCTATATTTATATTTAAAACAACTAATTAATCAGCCAATGGGGTGAGCAGAATATTCTTATTTCAAAGAGAAAACAAGATTGTTTCACTTCCCCCATTGCCAGATTATTTTAGGAGAAACTCACGTTATTTTGACAGAAAACAAGACAATGTTTTACTTGTCTAGAAAATGCTTCTTGATTTAAGAGTTTTTAGATATTTAGACTAAAAACAAGAGACAAACTCTAAGTAAGGAAAGCATTTTTAGTGAACAGTCACCCATTGCAGGATCACACCAACGATCATTTTAGACGCTCATAATTGAATTATTTACTGACATCATCTGTAATGGGCTTGTCGTACTTGCTCAATGTTTCCACTAGGTGGCGCTTTTACCTAAAAGTTATCAATTGTAAATGTGCACAGAGAGATGACTTTTGGACTTTGCAAAATTGTCTATTTTAACAGAAATTAAATACAAATATTTGCTTAATATTACAAAGTGAGCATATATAACAGCATGAACACCCCTGGAGAGTTATTTGTGGATTTAAAGGGACACTACATCATGAAAATTACCATCATTAACTTTCTTACGCCGCAAACAGTGCTTCTCTTTTGAGTTGTTTCTAGTACAAATATCTAGGAATTTTTAAGTCAAGATGCATTTCAATTAAAAATATGTTGTTTATTTGCTGATTATTTTGCTTGTTTTAAGGAAAAAACCTTGCTTCATTTTGACTCATTATTTCTGAAAACAAGACTAAATTTTTTATTATGCGTCTTAATTTAAGAATTTGTAGATATTTGGAGTAGAAAAAAGACAAAAACTCTAAATAAAAACATTTTCTGCAGTGTACTCTCATGCAGTTTTAATCCTGTAACACAAGCAGAGCATCTAAAGAATATTTACACACTCTTTTTAATACAAGGACATACAGTAAATGGACTCGCAACCGCTACTGAGCAATTCCTCCATAAACTGAACAGATTCATTTATGTTTCAGCAAATCTGCAGGCATATCAGACAGCAACTGCCATGATTTCAGAACATATTTACACAAGTTGTACAAAATAACTGGGTTGCATCATTTGATGGAAACATAAATTGACAAAGGATGAGAATAAGTGGAAATCGTCTTGAAAGTCGATGATGATCCTCATTTTACCTGCACCACTTGAGCTCCTAGAGATTTGACCAACCAGTAAAGCGATGTCTTTTACACAATATGCTCTAAAGCAGATGCTGAGTAGTGAAATGATGTGATTTTTCGCTCTGCGTCACATGTCTTCGCCCAGCAGGAGCGGCTGCAGGAAGAGTCCCGCTGTACCCAGAATACACACCAGCACAAACACCCACAGAAAGATCCTGTCTATCACCATCGCCACATACTTCCAGTCATCCTGGACCTTTAAAGACAAGCAGAGCAACACTTTCATTAAACATCCTACATCACATTTCATACGTTCATTTCTGACACTTATGAATGATCAATCTTTGCTGTAATGCCAGCTACTTGGTTTCTGTCATCAGATTAACACGTTTATATCAAGCAAATGCAGGATTTTACAAAAGTCTGCTTTCAGCTTGTGCTTAAGGTTTGTTTTTGCTATGCTTATTTTTTATAAGGTAAACATGATAAATGGAATATTTCAAGATGAGCACTTGGTTTAGTTTGCTTGATTATACATAGAATTATTTAGAAAATCATATATGAAATAGTTTTATTAAAGTAAGTGTTCAAAATGTGCACAGAAATAGCTGGATGGAAAAACCGCTAATGAAAGCAGGGAGTTTGACACGTGCAAAAATCTGTGTATTTCTTTTGGTCTTGTTTCTAGTGCAAATGTCTACAATTTTTTAAAATCATTAAGCATTTTTTAGTCAAACAAAAATTGTGGTGTTGTTTTTAGAAATAATGTGCCAAAATTGAATGTTTTTCCCTTAAAACAAGCAAAATAATCTGGCATAAGTGTATTTAAAATAATATCATCAAAAGGAGAAAATATTATTCTGCTTCCCCCATTGGCAGATTATTCTGCTTGTTTTAAAGGTAACTTCTCTTCATTTTTGACTCATTATTTCTGAAAACAAGACTATATTCTGTGCTTGTCTAGAAAATGCTGACTGATTTGAGAAATATTAGATATTTGGACTAGAAACAAGTAGAAAAGCAGTGCACGTGCATGTGGCATAGAATGGAAACCCTGAATAATACCACACCAGAACATTCAGAACCAATTTCAGTCTGCTTACCTCTATATCCTTGCCTTTATCAGATTAAACGTTTATGCAGCTCAGTTATGTGCATTCATTGTTTTGTGTGCACTTTTAAATTGTATGCGCATATTGGCATTTTCATAAAGCATTTGTTAAGTGTTGTAAATGCACATAAAAATAGATGTGTGGAGGAATTGCTAGTGAAAGTCAAAGAATTTCAATGTAAACCCTAAATAAAAAGTGTTAAGTTGACTTGACTTCAAAAATATCCTTAAAATTATTAAGTAACGAACTATGTGCATTATTATAGAAGCCAAAGGGTTTACTGCAGTACATTCAGAATTAATTTCTTCTTACCTCTTTAGCCGTGTCTTTATCAGATAACAAGCTTATTCAACTCGGTTATGTGCACTTTTAAATGTATGCGCATATTGGCTTTTCAATCAAGCATTTTTTATGTTTAAGTGTTGAAATTGCACATGAAAATATGTGGATGAAAAACAGCTAGTGAACGTCAACGAATGTGATATGAAAGTCAAGGAATTTTAATGTAGACCTGAATAAGAGCACACTATAACACCAGTACAGCAGAACACATTTCAGTCTTCTTACCTCTTTAGCCTCGTTTTGTAGCCTCATGTTTTCAGCGATGTACTTGACGCTCTCGATAGCCTCTCGGACCTGCGGTGAAACAGCAGACATGCACAGAAATCCGTCCAGAGACTCAGAGCTGGAGCACGGGCTGCCTCCGTCCTCTGCGCCCTCGCTGGTCATGTTGGAGATGTGTTTCTTCCAGCAGTGGTGCTCTCGACACAGAAACGCCGTCCTGGACGCCTCGTTGAGTTCAGTCGGACACAGGAGGAGCTGCGGCCCGCGACACACACTTGTCTGTTTGCTGGAAACCGGAGGATGAACACTGCACTGTTTGGCAGGAACCTCCTGGTCTTTCTCAGGCCGGGTCATGAACATAACCCGAGGAAGCAGACTCAGAAACACTCGACGAACCCAACAGGGCATAGTATGAGTCTTAGGCGTACGATAATGCACATTTAACACAAACACCGTAATCACAATAGAGAGCGTGACGAATATCATGGTGAAAAGCAGATACTCTCCTATTAGCGGAATGACTAGAGACGTAGATGGGATGGTTTCTGTGATGACCAGAAGAAATACAGTGAGCGACAGGAGGACGGAAATGCATAAAGTGACTTTCTCTCCGCAGTCGGAGGGCAGGTAGAATACGAGAACGGTCAGGAAGGAGATGAGAAGACAGGGGATGATCATGTTGATGGTGTAGAAGAGCGGTAATCGGCGGATGTACAGTGAATACGTGATGTCCGTGTAGATCTCCTCACAGCAGTTGTATTTAATGTCGTGTTTATATCCTGGAGCGTCGATGATCGTCCATTCTCCGCTCTCCCAGAAGTCCTTCAGGTTGATGGTGGAGCCGATGAGCACCAGGTCGATCTTGGCCTTGTCGTAGGTCCACGAGCCAAACTTCATGGTGCAGTTCTGGTAGTCGAAGGGGAAGTAGGTGACGTCGATCTTGCAGGAGCTCTTGAAGATGGCCGGTGGGATCCAGGTCACGTCTCCATTGAAGCGCAGAAGGGCTTTGGTTTTATCGTCCACCTGGAAATCTCCCACCGCACTGTGATGCGCAAATAAACACAGCTCGTGAAGGACTGACAGCAGCGATACGGAAAGAGGAGCATCCCATTGAAGACTACAGAACACTCAAGACATTTCACTCATATAAAGAATGCAGCAGTCAGTCAATATTGACCTTATTGTGCTCATTAGAAATCCTGATTCAGTTGTCAATAGGAGAAATGACTTGGAAATATAAATGACAGAAAACTACTTGGTCTACACACAGGATCATGACTATACAGAAACACCCAAAAATAATATAATTTAAAATATCACTTTGCAGCATAACTAAAAACCAATGGAAGTGTAGAGATCATGATAATATTCCAATGTCTGTCCCTGCTCATACATGAAGAATAAAATCACGGCTGCGTCCGAAATCACATCTACTATATGGTACTTGACCTACTGTACACTCTCAGAAATAAAGGTACAGGAGCGGTCACTGGGGCAGTACCTTTTTCAAAAGATACATATTTGTACCCAAAGAGTCCACAATGGTACTTAAAAGGTGCATATCAGTACCCAAATGTACCTAAAAAGTTCCCTTGAGGTATCACTATGGACCCTTCAGGTACAAATATGTACCTTTTGAAAAGGTACTGCCCCAGTGACAGCTCCCGTACCTTTATTTCTGAGAGCGTATAGTGTGTACTCGGATGATCTACTACTGACAAGATTTTGAAGTATCATCCAATAGACGATACACTATCCCATGATGCACCGTAAAAAGAAATCTTGAATGTGAGTGAAGCGACGCAACTGATGCTGGTCATGTGATAATGTCAAACGGTGGATCACAACATCAGACATTCTACAGATCTACATCAGACAAGAGGTCTTTCAAAGATGGCTACTGAGTGAAAGAACTTGCCTTAAAGGAACTTTGGCCGCACTTACTTGTTATACAACACAATGTCTGGCTTCCAAATCTTGTTGGACGGCACACGGATGAACTCAACACCTCCAAAATCCTTGGGATCCCATCGGAGCTTATAGTCATTCCAAATCTGTAAAAAATTCAAATAATCCAGGATGAATTTGACCCATTTATCCCAACTTGTGCATCCATGTGCTCTATTTAATACTGACTAGCTGTCAGCAAACACTTTTCTTTATTGAGTTGTGTAGTCTAGTGTAGTTGGCTGTTGTCATTTAAAGATTATGGTCTGATTATGGGCTGTTGTCCATTAAAGATGATATTTTTGTCTGATGAAAGTTAATCTTTAGTTTACATTAATAAAGATTCAGTCATGTTTGTTAATTTTTAAACATTATAAAAACATCAAAAAGAGAACAAAACACAGGGTGGGAGATGAAGCGCCGTCCTTGTTTTATAGTGTTTTTATCCTTTTGATAATGGATTCTCTAGAGTGGATTCAGATTTAAAGATGTCAAAAGTGATGGATGTAAATAACTTCGACACAATAAAATATGTTTTAAACAACACACAAGACATAAAGCAGTGGATACTGATGAAGAGTTATCGTCTGACTGAAAATCGAGACTGAAAAGCATAATCTCATCAGCTCTGACACATGATAAACCAACAGAAGAGAAAACTCTGCCTGACGCTTTTAATCTTCTACTGATGCAAATATAATTCAAGGCCCAATCTGACTGTCAATACAAGCAGAATCATTTATTAATTTCAATTGTCCAGGTCAGGTATCTCAACACATTTACGACTCGCCACTCTGATGAAATATTTACTGAATTTGATTAACCTGATTAAATCTGGTTATTGATTCGCCGTTTAAATGTTAATGAGCTGCTTGATTAATTGAAGTGCTTAATTTAATTGAACCCTCTTTACCGTACTCATTTTTTCTTGGACACGATTGTAAAATCCTCATCTCATAATCACTTCATAGCGAATTATGAGATGCACTTTCTTAGTTCATGGCAAACTCCAGCTGTCTTGAGCAAGTGGACCGTTTCCAATACTCCTTCAATTAAAAGTATTAGACATTTAGACTCATTTTCCCCTGATCCTGTGCACTGTACATAACCATTAGCAACAGTTTTGCTGTAATCATGCATTTAAAACATGCATATTTAAACACTTAATAGAGGATAGAAACGTTATAAATAAATACATTAAGGAATTAAACTTAGATTTATCACAGCATTTATATACTGCTGCTCTTGAAGTGCTTCTTTTATCCTCATTTGTAAGCTGTTTTAAATAAGCAACATGAATAAATGTAAATCATTTAATTGAATAATTCATTAAAACATTCATAACAGTTTCGAAAAGGTCTCATATCACTAAATATTTTGTGCAGAACAGATTTTTTAAAATAATATTTTATTTGTATGTTCACAAAACTGTCATGACATCTTTATAATCATGACACATGAATGTAAATGAGACTGTATGCATGCTTATAACAACTGTTATTAAGTGTCATTCACTCAGTTATGACCTGTGTGTAATGACAACCTGGCGTAAACAAATACATCACATCCTGTTTTTGTGTTTGCCTTGACAACTTCACATTACCGTGACAGTCTCTGAAGGGACCACACAATCTGAACCAAACTTACCAATCGTAAACGAAGAAAGGGAATGACGTTGCAAGTGGTGAATTGATTTGGGTTTCAGTAAAAGTGGAAGCAAAATCAGAAGTGAGGGCAAAGTTGAAGTGTGCATGTCTTGAACAACTCAGCAGAGCGAGTCACGAGAGCTAAGTAAATTCACGTATGTTTGTCGATTGATACGAGCTTATTATGATATTTGCTTTTCTGAGAGAGCTGCCGTAAACAACGTGGACATCGTGGTCAGAGCTGAGTGATTGTTTGTGGCGCTGAGATCACGATAGCATTGCTGATATCCTATATGGATGACTTCTAGATTCAGCGCTTCCCAAAAGGGTTGTTTGCTGTGGGGTCTAGTCCACGTTTAGTTCACTACGTCAATGTCTTACTGTGAGTTCTACTACATCAGTTGACTCCATGACTTCAGGTATTCTCTGCATTACAGCATAACTTCCAAACTATTCGACTTCTGATTCTAAATCTAAATGAAACTAAATCCATTCGCCACTTGCAACGTCATTCCTTTTCTTCGTTCTCGATTGGTTAGTTTGGTTCAGATTGTGCGGTCCATTCAGAGACCATCACATTACCAAGACAACAGTACTTGTCATAGATCTGTCATAAACATGATTGCCATGAGGCATTATAACCGTCATGAATGTTTTTTGGAGCGTCGTTAATTTTTAACGTCATTTTAATGACAAATTCAGCGAGTATACCACTGTAGTTGGTAAAAAAAAATGTTGCTGTTTTAAAAATTATGACACATTTATATTTATAATTGTTTATGACAGATTTATGACATGTTTTGTTATCTTGGTAAAGTCAACGAAGACAAAAACAAGCTGTCATAAACAATGTCATCTTTGCATTTAAAATGTCCTAACTGAGGGAGTGACACTTGACTATTGTCATAAGCATGCACAAACTCTCCATCACATGATGAGGTCTTATGAACAACCTTTAAGTAAAGTGTCAGCCAACTCTTCACGAGCTCCAGTGTTTCCACATTGGAGATCTCCAGCATGCTGCTCCAGTCATGATCAACACAGCGCAGTGATTGTGAATAAAGCGGTGTTCGATTAGCTAAATGAATAAGTGACCTTTGGACGAGTGTGAATAATGCATGAGCTTACGTGTCTCAGCCAAAGATTGGTCTCCATAATCTGGTTCACCTCGTCCTGTGGAAATAAAAAGCAGAGCGAGTCTCAGACAGATCAGCCGTGGGGGATACAGACGGCCTCTAAATGAATATTTCAGAGCGTAAAGAAGAAACATGCTGTCATGTGCAATCATTCTCCAGGCGTCAGACGGAGACGCACCTGAGTCCCGTCGCCTGAAGGACTCGCGCAAAAACACACTCGCTCTTATTCAAATCTATTAAACACTTCAGATTTATTTATTTTTTTAGATTGGCTGAAATAAAAAAAATCAATTCAAAATAATGTAAAAACTGCTGTGGTCAAAAATATTAGCCCCCTTGAAACATATATATTTTTCTGCAGATGAAACCACTTAACTTGCCTGTAATCAGGACAAAGACATGTTATTAAATTAGGTATTAAAACTCACATTATTTTTCATCAAATCACACTCAGTTTTTGTTAAACACTCTGAAAAATCTATATAACACTTTGGATTTGTTGAAATAGTCAATATTAAGTGTCATCTTGTTTCTTTTAGTTTGACTGGAATTTTTTTAAATCCTCTGTGATCAATATTATTCACCTCCTTGTGAAATTATGTTTTTCTATTGTCTACAGGATAAGCCACTGTTGTTCAATAACTTGCCTAATTAACCCAGCTCTTCTGTCATCTTGGCAAAGACAACATAAATTATAAATGAGTTGTAAACTCGCAGCACTGTCCATCCAAACACACTCGCTTTTTATTAAACGCTCAGAAAAATCTATTTGGATTTGTTGAAATAGCCAATATAAACAGTGTCATCTGCAGCTAAGAGAAGTGTTTTAGTTACAAGTTTAACTAGGAGAAAGTCAGATTTCTTTTAGTTTGGCTGGAATAGAAACAAATAAATAAAAATGTATGTGGTCAATATTATTAACAAATATTTATTATTTTCTACAGAACAAACCACTGTTGTCCAAAAACTTGCCTAATTAACCCAGTTAAGCCTTTAAGCTAAATAAATGAACTGGATTCAACATAAAACATTTAAGTTGTCCCAAAAAAAAACCCATATGAACTGTGTTGTTCCAACTCATTTTGAATAAAGGGTTTAAACAAGCAGCAAAAGTCTCCGTCTGAGTGTACGGCGGACAGAAATCTCCCTCAGAGATGGTCAGATCACTCACCACTTTGACCAGCTGTGACATGGAGACCTCGAACTGGACGACCACTGGATCAGACACATTCTCCACTGGTCGGATGTACTGGTTATAGCTGGAGAAAATGACAGAGAAGAGCCGGTGCTCGGCCTCAGAGCAGCAAACCCCTGAAACAGAAACACACAACTTCAGGCCAATTTAGTTTATCAGGTCACTTATAAAACTAGACCCATTTATTATCCTCAACCCTGTTACTGTTTAACAAGTTCAACACTAGTTAGTAACAGAACCAGATGTTCTCTATCATAGTGAAGTATTGTGCATTATTTCACTGTAAAGCCTAATGGATTCAGTGTACTGTCATTATACATTTCTTTTATATCAGTATAGTTAAAGGAAAATGATTGGAAATTGGCTGAATTGTACTCGCAATTATGAAATGAATCAGCTGCATAACTATAATAATCCCATTAACAAAAGCTGCTCGCGACTGCATTGAGCTGAACGGATTCGGGGAATATTATTAATACAGTAACGATCCTTTATTTGCTGTTAATACATGTAAGCACATTTAAAATTCCTCCAAATGGTTATCTATTCATTGTCATACCTTTAGAAAATAATCATTTACAATCACTTAAACAACAATTAGTAACAGCATCAAATCTTCTCAATCACTATTAGATATTTTGCATTATTTCACAGTAATAATGATTCAGTGTACTGTAAATTATACATATCACTGTCACACTGTCACAACCAATTTAAGATTTATTTAACAAGGGATTATTTAAATATTACAAAATAATAAAAAGAAATTCTTGCAATTAATCATGAAAAGTTATAATGCATTACAATAGTGTATAAATGCGTGAATGCACATTTCACAAAGGCTGAAGTGTTTGTTTTGGATGTTAAAAGGCAAATTTAATGTAAGGTTTCAACTCGAGAACGTTCATTTCCAGTGGCAGATCATCAGGAAATCAATATATTTCTCTCTTCTGGTACTTTGACTCTTATTGCTGCTCCTTCTAGAAGAATTAAAACACTTGATTAAACTGCAACAAGTAGATTCAGAGCAGGGTCAGCTGTCTGTACTCACCCGACAGGAGAAAACACAGAGGAGAAAATGAGGAGAAGAAGATCAGGAGAGCTCCGGTGTTCATTGTACAGTCCGGGGACAGAAATAATGCAGCGGTGCAGACAAGCGGAGGACCAGGAGAAGAGGAGGAGGAGAGAGAGAGAGAGAGTGTGTGTGTGTGTGTGCGCATGTATGTGTGTGTGAGAGAGAGACTGCAAAAAATGCATGAGTTTTCATCTTGTTTCCAGTGCAGATATCTACAAAGTCTTAAATGAATACATATTTTATAGAAAATATTGATTGTTTACAAATAATGAGTCAAAATAAAGTGAGTTTCTCCTTAAATCAAGCTAATAATCTGCCAATGGGGGAGGAGAAAGGAAAAACAAGATTATTCATCCTACTCCATTGGTTTTAAGGAAAAACACACTTAAATATGACTGATTAATTCTGAAAATTATTATTGGTCTGGAAACAAGACTAAATCTAAGTAAGAAAAGGTTTTATTTTTGAAATAATTATTTTGTAGGGGATATGATGGTCAAGAACAGACAGGAAAGCATTGGAAGCAGAGAAAGACGAACGATCGTCATAGGACCTCAAGCCGGGAATCAAACTCGGGTCACTGTGAGCACCATGGAGATATATGTCAGCGGACTGAACCACTAGGCTATCGCCACTGACAAGAAAGCATTTTAGCAGTAGAGAGAGTGAGCAGATGAAGACACACACATGAAACCACCCGATTAACTGGTTTTAAGTGTATACAGGGACATGATCCATGTCCTCATAAAACAACTCAATTTTTTAATATCGAGATCATCCCCATGATGTTATACAAACCAGTGTACACACACACACACACACACTGAATTATTATAAATGTGTCCTAAAACGTTGATATATTTTGTATTATTATCATTATTTATTACTGTTGTTTCACTACTGTGCACTTTGTTTTCCTATGTTCTGTATGTAATGTAAACATGATAAATGCTTTGGCAGTACATTGGTAACATCTGTCATGGTGGTGAAGCATGTTTGAACTGATCTGAGAGACTGCGCATCTGTCAGTCGTGCTCCTGAATGGAAGCAACTCCTCTGGGTTTTGGTAGTAAAGCTGATTTTGTCTTGTTTACAGCAGCAGTGATGATGAACAGCTTCAATCATTACATTAACCTGAACAGCAGAACATATAAGGTCAAATAACAGCAGGTGAACTTCACTCTGTCCACTAGACTACACGTCAACACCTCCACCAGCGACACCATTCACTTTATTACTATTCTTATTTTGCATACTCGTTTTTAAAAGTGAGGTCATCATTAAAAACCATACGCGCTCATCCCTTTCTATAACAAGACGAAGAACATGGTAATCTGATCTGTTTTACCATGAAGAACAGGTTTACTATTGGTTTACAATGTAAAAAATAGCTAATAAATATTTGATAGCCTACCCGATAAACAAACACATACTAAAATTCATTTGTTATATTAACTGAGGAAATTAATGTTGTCATATCAATTTATAACATCACATGCTATGTTCAACTCAAACACACAAATAAATCTGATGTTTATCACCACATGACAAATACTGTAGTCATTTTTAACCATACTATAGTAAAGTACTTAATCTGCTGTGGTGATTCTACAGTTGCTATGGTAACACAACATCTACAGTAACTGATCTGTTGTGGTGATTCTACAGTTGCTATGGTAACACAACACCTACAGTGATTGATCTGTTGTGGTGATTCTACAGTTGCTATGGTAACACAACACCTACAGTAATCAATCTGCTGTGGTGATTCTACAGTTGCTATGGTAACACAACAACTACAGTAATTGATCTGTTGTGGCTATTCTACAGTTGCTATGGTAACACAACAACTACAGTAATTGATCTGTTGTGGTGATTGTACAGTTGCTATGGTAACACAACAACTACAGTAATTGATCTGTTGTGGTGATTCTACAGTTGCTATGGTAACACAACAACTACAGTAATTGATTGTTGTGGTGATTCTACAGTTGCTATGGTAACACAACAACTACAGTAATTGATCTGTTGTGGTGATTGTACAGTTGCTATGGTAACACAACAACTACAGTAATTGATCTGTTGTGGTGATTCTACAGTTGCTATGGTAACACAACACCTATAGTAATTGATTGTTGTGGTGATTCTACAGTTGATATGGTAACAACACCTACAGTAATTGATCTGTTGTGGTGATTCTACAGTTGCTATGGTAACACAACAACTACAGTGACTGATCTGTTGTGGTGATTCTACAGTTGCTATGGTAACACAACATCACTAATACAAACAAGTGACCCGATTCTGTAGCTTCCTATAGAATATATTATACTGCAACACACCACAGTTTAGTTAGTAACTGAAGTATACTTTAGTATTTAGTGCAGTTTATCAGTTCACTGCAGTATGCTGGAACATTCGTTAATGAGTTGTAGACACTATATTATAAACAGTATTTACTATACACTACTGTAGTATTTTTTCATCTTTATATATAAAAGAAGTCAAACTCTCCCTTTCCATAACTCTCTCAGTGTCAGACACATGTGGAAAATCACAGTATATGAATCTGAGGGGTTTTGGGGAAAGTATAGACTCTCCTACACTCAGCTGTAGCCTGTGCTATTATATGACACTGGTGAGCCATGAGATATGAAGAGGACTAATCACCAGCAGAATGAATGTGTGAAAGATAGCAATAGCCTGATGTGTCCAGCAGGTGGCGCAGTATATAGTCATATTGCTTTTTATTCACGAGTCCAGTTTAATTGAGCTGTAAATGTGCTTTTAGGAGAGAAAGAGGACAAACAACACGAGGAAATCATCCATAAACTGGTGAACTATGTTGTACAGATGACACTGAACTGAATGCATGTACATGATAACAAAGGCAAGCATAAGGAAAATATGAAAACAAACAGAAATAGTTGAGTTCAGACTTTCAAAATACACATGAATAGATGCAAATCTGATTAAGTACCACATAGTGACTCAAACCTTTTATGAAGCCCACTGTAAAAATAATAAAGGCCTTTCAGTTTTAGCTACAACAAAAAATCATATGTACAAGTTCCTCAGTGGAAACTGTTTCAAAAAACAAATGAAAAGGTGAATATAATACCATATTCCCCCAGTGTAAAGACGAATACAAATGTGTGGTTTCTGTTTACACTGAATTTCTCTTATCACAGCTCAATATGCAGAGACTAAATATACAGTGTGTGTGGTCATTTCCCTGTACAGTGCAAAGGAAAACACTAAGCCTTGGTTTTGATGTGAATGTGCACATAAACAGTGCAGTAATATTCATGCACGAGACAGAAAGAAAAGTATATGTACTTAACAGTGGCTGAACCGGGCACCAGAGTTGTTGGAGGTGATCTATTTTATATTGTTGTTGTTGTTTCTGACTGGTGGCTCACAGAAAGCTTGTTAGGGAGCTTAATGTTGCAATCTGGTATTTTCTTATTATCTTATTGTTTATTTTTAACTATTGTCATAAACATGAGTGTTTTATAAACTGCTGTTCATATTCCTTTAGTCAAATTATTTTTTTCAGATGAATTGATTTAACTTGTTTTAGGGAAAAACTCATTATATTTGACTCTAACTAATACACGATGTTATCATATTTTAATGCACTAATATCTTTTGGTTGTCTAGGAAATGCTTCTAGATTTAAGAATTTGTACTAGAAACCAGACAAAAAAGTAAGAAGCATTTCTGCAGTGAAGCTCAGACACGATCTACATCATAAACAGAGCAGTAGAATTAAAGACGAATGTATTTGAGTCCGTGTGCTCGTCACATGCCGTCCCGTCTGGCGGGCTCAGTGTTGGGCTGCTGGATGGCGAGGGTCTGGTTCTGGAAGAGCGGCTGCAGGAAAAGACCCAGCGTTCCCACCACACACACGATCACAAAGATCCAGAGGAACAGCCGGTCCACCACCATCGCCACGTACTTCCAGTCCTCGATGACCTACAGAGAGACAGAGAGACTCATTAAAGCACACATCAAAACTACCCATACTGATTCTGTTCGCTCTCATTGCTAGTTTTGTGCTGAACAGTTCATCTGTGTGTGTCATTTAGAACAAAACTGTCTGCACTTGTGATCTTTAATTGAAATCTCCTGATTGTTTTGAGCTATATTCTCAGATTAGGTCAGTGTAAGGTACTGGGCGGGGCTAACATACTTAACCACACCCCTCCAGCTGTCAGTGCTTTGACAACAAACAGAAATGGTGAGCAGGAGGAGTCTAAATCTAAAACCCTGTTCCCCATCTTTCTGAATGACACGCCTACTTGACTACATCCAATCAGCGTGCAGTAGAAAAAAACAAGCCACACCCACTGTTTTCTCATGTAATATTCTGTTTCTCGGAACTGCGTCACAATAAAAACTGTCGCAGCTTCTGCTTCATGCAGAATTTAAAGGGATAGTTCACACATGAAATTGTCGGCTAATCCTGACAAAACCAGGACCCTCTCTCATGGTTTGTTTGTGTTTAGTTTTAATCTAAAAAACATCCTTCACTGCCGTTATATGAAGCACCACGGATTCAGCTCAAAATCTTCTTAAAGGTTCGACTGGAAATCTCAAGGCTGACCTGTGGGAGAGTATATTAACCGGGCATTTTCATTTTTGGGTGAACCATCCCTTTAATAAACATTTAATAACGGCAGTGTTAACAAGTGCTGATGGGCTGGTATTGAATGCGCTGCTCCTCCGTCTCTCAGACTGCTGTCCTCTTCACTTTCTGAACAGGATTATTCAGCACGGCTCTCATTGATTTCAGCTGCAGATCGATGCTCTTACAATGTGCTTTGGCTCAAGCGCTAATGTAACCTCTGCTTTATCCCACCTCTGCTCGCTAATTGTGTATCTACAGAAAAAAATGAACACCTTTAAATTACATTTAGCTTTTACACTGCGGGAAATGTCTTTGTATTGTTATTGTCCAAATACCCATTTTTTACATCAAGAAGCAAAATGAGTCAAAATGAAGAGAGTTTATCCTTAAAACAAGCTAAATAATGTGCTATAACCGTAATCAAAGCAAAAACTAGATTATTCTGCTGACACCACTGGCAGGTTTTCTAGCCTGTATATGTTTTGCTTGTCTAGAAAATGCTTCTTGATTTAAGTATTTTTAGATATTTGGACTAGAAACAAGATAAAAACTGTTTACAATTTAATTTGATGTACACCAAATTTTCTAACTGTGTATGCACAGAAGTGTGAAGATGAGTTCAATATTATACTATTGTTTGATGTAATGTAAATACACCGATTTCATACACACAGTGTATCGCATATGCGCTGTACAGTAGAATACGAAGGAGGCTCGCACGACTACTTAAAGGCCTCATTTTTTTAGATGTTAGCATCAGTTTGTTTTAAGGATATCTATAATCTAGTGTGCTCCAAAACCAGTGAGAAAGTTCACATTTAAGAGATATAAACCTGATATAAACATCCACAGCTTGCAGTCTGTCACCTCCGCCCTAATAGATCAATGTTTTCATGTCTCTTCTCCAGCTCATTTGTAAGTCGCTTTGGATAAAAGCGTCCGCTAAATGTCTAAATGTAAATGCAGTATCTGTCAAGCCCCGCCCATTATTCTGATTAGATGCGCTTGAGCTCAACCCCTCTCACCGGCTAAACTGTGAGAAAAGCAAGACGCTATTGGATGTTTTTTTAAAAGGGGGAGGAGCTACTACATGCCCCTCCCTCTCTTTGTGTTTCATTTGCGATGACGTCACACATCAAATAAATTAAAGCACATTTCAAGAGATCACACTCAGCTGATGATGGATTATAAAGCATGTTTGGCATGCTGTCCTGGGGAGAGAGCCCTGAGCTCAGAAGATCTTTGAGCCCGGGGCTCCCTCCCATTTGCAGGGCGAGAGGGGAGTTTGAGCTCAGGTAGATGTGGAGATCTCCCCTGCTGTAGTAGCTGATGAACAGATAGTGATCGCTCTCAAGAGAGAACTACTGACTAGCAGCATGTCTATGTGCTGATGTGGATCAGTCAATTAACTTAAGCTGCATGTTCTTGGACGGTGGGAGGAAATCCATGTGAGCACGGTAAAAATGTATAAACTCCGCAGAAAATCGTCAGCTGGCTTAGTGAGGACTAGAACCATTGACGTTCTTGCTGTGAGGCAACAGTGCGAACCACTGGGCCACCGTGCCACTCATCTAGGAAAGGAGGAGGGGAGGGGGGGGGTTCTTTAAAACAGATGGCCGTGAGATGGAGCTGAGGGTGTTTATAGTGGCTTAGGACTCGTCTGATTGGTCAATCATAAACTGAATAATGCGGGACCGGCTGCAAGCAGTCAGCTCAGAACAATGCTCTGTGTTTGTGTCCAGTAGTGATGTAATAAGATAAAGTACAGCTGCTGATAAACCTGTCATGCTTTATTCTGCGATAGCAGCCACCTGTATGCACTTTACCCCTAACATACAGTAACACGCCTTAGAATCTGCCAATTAACCAATCAGGATCAAGGATTACCAGTGTAATAAATAAAACGTAGAAACTCACGCTTTGATCGTCGTCATTCCCCATCATGTGATCAGCAACATATCGAACTCCGTCCACAGCCTCCTGAATCTCAGATCCCCATTCACAATACAGCCTGTTCCCCTTCAGGTCCTGTGCGGAGCCGTGTCCATTATTCAGACCTTCAGCTCTCCGAGAGCCGAAATGCCCTTTATTATACAAGAGTCCCGGAGAGGAAAGAGCGGACGCCGAAGACGCAGCCAGCAGCGCAGACGCAGACGAGCACATGACGGATCTGCCAGGAGTATCAGCCAATCCAAGCAGACGGCGGTTCTGGCGCAGACGCTGGCGTGCCGAATGTCCTCTCGGTCTCTGCATAAACAGCAGCGCCGGCAGTCGCACCAAAAACACGATCTTCACCCACGCCGGCATGCTGTGGGTACTGGGAGAACGATGGTGCACGTTTAACACACACACACTAGTGATAATCGAGAAGGTCACCAGAACCATCGTGAACATCAGGTACTTCCCGATTAAAGGAACGTCCAGGGAAGTGGGCGGCACGATTTTGGAGATCAGCAAGAGGAAAACGGTGAGCGCTAGTAGGACGGAGATACACAGAGTCATCTTCTCTCCGCAGTCGGACGGCAGGTAGAACACCAGGATGGCCAGCGAGGTGATGAGCACACACGGGATGATCAGGTTGATGGTGTAAAACAGCGGCTTCCTCTTGATGATGAAGTCGTAGGTCAGGTCTACGTACGTGGCGTCCAGCGGGCTGACCGTTCGACGGCCTGGCAGCGCCAGGATGTCCCACTCGCCGCTGGGCGTGAAGTCGTCCATGCTGGCGGCGTCCGACTTCAGCAGCAGGTCGATCTCGGTGTGGTCGTAGGTCCAGGAGCGGAACTTGAGCGTGCAGTTCTGCTGGTCGAAGGGAAAGTGCTTGACCTCGATCTTACAGGCGCTCTTGTAGATGGCCGGCGGGAGCCACGCGATGCTGCCGTTGAAGAGCACGATGGCGTTAGTGAACACCGTCACCTCGTACGTCCCGTCAGCACTGTGGAGACACCAGAGTTTCAGATACACTACACAAGCCAGATGCCAAACTCCCTGACTCTGCTGACTAAACAGATGAACTCGCCAAAATATGAAATTCAAGGGCACTGGCTCAGTGGTCAGCACTGTGGCCTCACGGAAGGAAGGTCTCTGGTTTGAGCCCCAGCGGGGTCAGTTGGTGTTTCTGTGTGGAGTTTGCATGTTCTCCCCCTGTTGGCGTGGGTTTCCTCCGGGTGCTCAGGTGTCCTCCACTGTCCAAACTGTAGGGGAACACCAGCCGGGACTCGAACCAGAGACCTTCTTGCTTTGAGGCCTTTATTTAGCTTGCTTTAATGAGAAACTCTCTTGATTTTGACTCATTACTCCTGAACACAACAGTATATTCTGTGCTAGAAACAAGACAAAACCTCTGAATAAGAACAGCATTGTTTGCAGTGTTGGGACGCAGCATGTCCACTAAGCATCTCTGTAGTGTGTGTGTGTGTGTGTGTGTGTGTGTGTGTGTGTGTGTGTGTGTGTGTGTTTCCTCTTGTCACTCACTTGTTGTACAGCACTATATCAGGCAGCCAGATGTGTCTGGAGGGAATCCGCAGCTTGTCGATGCCCTCGTACTCCGCCGGGTCCCACGACAGGCGATAATCGTTCCAGTTCTGCAGATGACATGACGATATTCTTATTATTTCTCAGACGAGCCTCAATCACACACTGGATTACGCTCTGATGAGGGAACGTGAGCGAGCTGGAGATCAGTCTCAAGGACATCAGAGACGAAAGCCTCTTTAATTAATTAAGTAATAATTGCCTCTGATGAGCGTCTGACACTGACCTGAGTGAGCCAGACGTTTGTGGTCATGATCTGCTCTCTTTCATTCTGGAAACACACACACACAAAAACACACACACACACACTTCATAAATCAGTACACAAAAACAGTCATTTCAGGAGCATTAAAGCACGATCACCACACACACACACACACACACACACACACACACATTAATGGATTTTAAAGACTCAGTCTGTATTATACACTCTTTAAGAAATGCTGGGTTGTTTTTATCTCCATCTTGAGTCATATGTGTGTGTGTGTGTGTGTGTGTGTGTGTGTGTGTGTGTACTGACCACACTGATGAGCTGGGCCAGAGACACCTGCAGCAGGACGGTCACTCTCTCGGTGCGGTTCAGCGCCGGCCGGATCAGTTTATTGTAGCGATGTTTACCCAGCAGCCAGTTCATCAGACGCTCCTCTGAGTCTGCACACACACCACCTGCACACACACACACACACACACACACACACTGCGCTCTCAAACTGGCTGGGTTGCTTTAACCCTCTGTTGCGTTTTTCCACATTTGACCCAGCATTTTTAGAGTGAAACCAACAGCTCCAGCACTGCACATGTAACAGAGAGAAATGCAACTTAAGGTTGGGTCAAAAAAATTTTTTAATTAAACTTAAATATTTTTTAACCCAATAAGGTTGGGTTGTATTAACCCAATATTAGGTCAAGTTTAGACAAACTCCAACACTGCATCACTTTCTTTCACACAGCTCAGGGTTGGGTCAAATATTACCATTGTTGGGTTTGTCAATATTTTTTTTGAGGTCCTATTTGAATCCCAATTTTTTGAAGTACATTTAACTTACATTTTCACCCCAACAGATTAGTTTACTCTAAAAATGTTGTTTTAGCCCAGCTTGGGTTCAACTGTAATTTAGATTTCAGTGAAATAATTAACCCAGCTGGGTCAAAACAAACACCTCAGCATGTTCAGAGTGAAACACACACATCCTAAAACTACAAACCAGCCCTGCACCACTAGTCTAAACAACACACCTCAGGGTTGGGTTAAATGTAGAGAAACACATTGTTTGGGTTAATTATTTTCCTAAAACATTTAAATCACATTTTAACCCAACGGTTGACTCAAAACAATGATGGGTTATCAATTAAACTACACAAAAATGTTAACTAGATACATTTTTAAAATGTAGTTACAAAAATTAACCAAACTTTAGGTTTTCTTTACTTGCTTAAAACAACCCAGCATTTTAGAGTGAACTGTTGGGTTACAAAAGTAATTTAATAAAATTTAAAAAATAATAACTTAACAATGGGTTTACCAGTGTTTGCCAGTGTTTACACTTCAGCATCTTTGTTATAGAGTAAACCACAGTAAAGGCAGAATTAAAGATATGGATGTTCTCTGAGCTTTAAGTGTTGTGAATTAATATTAATGAGCAGTGATCTGTGTTAGAGACGCTCAGCGTAAGCACTGCCTATAACGAGATGAACTGCAAACTAAAGGGGAAAATAAACAGAACACTGGGCGGCACGGGGACTCAGTGGTGTCGCACTGTGGCCTCACAGCAAGAAGGTCGCTGGTTCGAACCTTGGCTGGGTCAGTTGGTGTTTCTGTGTGGAGTTTGCATGTTCTCCCTGTGTTGGTGTGGGTTTCCTCCGGGTGCTCCGGTTTCCCCCACAGTCCAAACACATGCGCTATAGGGGAACTGATCAACTAAATTGGCTGTAATGTATGAGTCTGTGTGTATGGGTGTTTCCCAGTACTGGGTTGCAGCTGGAAAACCATCCGCTGTGTAAAACGCAAGCTGGAATAGTTGGCAGTTCATTCCACTGTAGTGACCCCTGATGAATAAAGGGACTAAGTTGAAGGAAAATGAATGAATGAAGCACAACACTATTGCAATAAAACACACACATGTATATGTTTGAGTCCTGTTAGCCTTGGTCAATGAAAATATATATTGTACTAAAATGTCGGTGGTATAGGCTAAATATAATAATAATAATAATAATAACAATAATAATAAACTATAATAAGTATGTTAATGATACTATAATAGCACCACTACACTGTAAAATAAATTAAACATCCAGTCAAACAAACAAACAAGCGCACACTGTGGTGTATTTACACAGAATGAAGACTGCTGAATATAAAAACGCTGGAAAATGGGAAATTGCGTGATTTTACCCTTTAGATAGCTGGATGTAGTCTGTGCACTGGTTTAGCAGATGATGTACATGTCAGAATTAATCGGCAGTGAAATCTCATGCAAGTAAGCCTGGCCTGTATTATAGGAGAGTTCTCTGACTATTAGTTTTGTTATTATTAAAAATAAACTTTGTGCATATTTAAATTCTTCAACTGTATGTTTTGCGTTACTAATAAACACCCAGTTAAACAAACAAGCCAACGCGCACTGCTGTTCCACGCAGAATGAAGACTCGACAACCCGGCAATCGCGCAACTTCGCTGTTTAAATGCGCAAAAAGCGGAACGCATAGGCTGTGCGTTAGTTTATCAGGTGATGCGCGTGTCAGATTTACCCAGCAGTGATGGATGGAGTGTAAATTACTCAGTGTGTGATGCAGGAGTTCTGGACTTACTTCTGGCGAGGCTGAGGGCGCACAGGAGGACGCAGAGCGCGCGCGTCATGCTGGATCCGGCCGGGATTCTGCATCTCTTCAGTCCCATTCCGCCTCACACACACACACCGCCATTCATTCACATACACACACACAGGAGTTCAGAAAAGCCAACAGCATTGATGAGGATGGGGAGCGCTCGGACCGGCGGCGGCGGCTGCGCGTGTCCGTGCGCGTCTCCTCCATGCGCGCGCTCGTCCGCCCGCCCGATGTGATTTACTGGTTTGTTGTTAGTACTCTAGTGTGTGTTATGAGTTCACAACAGTTTCATTAGTTCACATAATGATAATATACAGCCAGCATACACGTTTATAAAAAACAAACTCTTTATGCAGACAGTTTATATCAACACATATATATAATATTGTAAAATAAAAAAGTTTAATAATAGTTTCTATTTTACTGCTTATTATGTAACCCTCTAGTTGGTTTACGTGTTATAAATAAGCCAGTCATCATTTAACAGCAGAAAATAAAAATAAACTGTTTTATCTATATATTTTTTACAGCTGTATCTTAAAAATGCTCCAACATGTTACCATAGCAACTGTGAAATCATCACAACAGATCAGTCATTGTTACCATAGCAACTGTGAAATCATCACAACAGATCAGTCATTGTTACCATAGCAACTGTGGAATAATCACAACAGATCAATCACTATAGTTGTTGTGTTACCATAGCAACAGTAGAATCACCACAGCAGATCAATTACTGTAGTTGTTGTGTTACCATAGCAACTGTAGAATCACCACAACAGATCAGTTACTGTAGTTGTTGTGTTACCATAGCAACTGTAGATGCACCTCAACAGATATAATTCAAGCAGTAAGTACTTTACTACAGTATGGTTTAACAGCACTGTAGTATTATTATGAATGACTGTATTATTTTGTCATGTGTGATATTAGAAAATGTCTTAATTGCTGTCAGTCGTTGCAGTGTGAGTTATAGTCAACAACATGTGAAAGGGATCATTAATGTAATGTGTTGACAGTTCAGCACAGATAGGGAGCTGTTGTGACAGCATGCTGCAGTTTTACTCTACTCACTAAACCTCATCATGAGTAAAAATAAATAAATATTTTGAAATGGTGAAAGAAATCAGCACAGCTCTGGTGTTCTCCAGCACACAGCGTCATAAATCCTGATGTGTTTAGAGCGGCGTGAGGGCAGGTCAGGGTTTAGGAGAGGCCACTGCACCACAGCTGACCTCTATACATCACATCTGTGTGTCCTTCAACACACACACACTTGCATGGACACACACCCACCGTTGTACAGACACACACACATAGCTGTATTGACGTTTCTACTGTATAGACTGTGTGTGTGTGTGTGTGTGTGTGTGTGTGCATTGGTGGTGTTCTTCAGCTGTGTGTGTGTGTGTCCTGTGCTGAACACTGTACTGTAGATCTTCCAGATGCTGCAGAGTCTCTGTGTGAGATTAAAACATCCCGTCTCTCAGCATTTATCAGCAGCTGCACCTTTAAAGGCACAGCTCATACTATATATAGGGGTGGCTCAGTGGTCAGCACTGTGGCCTAAGAGAAAGAAGGTCACTGGTTTGAGTCTCGGCTGGGTCAGTTGGTGTTTCTGTGTGGAGTTTGCATGTTCTCCCCGTGTTGGTGTGGGTTTCCTCCGGGTGCTTCGGTTTCCCCCACAGTCCAAACACATGCGCTATAGGGGTATTGATCAACTACACTGAGTGTGTGTGTGAGAGAATGTTGAGTTTTCCAGTTCTGGGTTGCAGCTGGAAGGGCATGCGCTGTGTAAAACACATGCTGGAGTAGTTGGTTAATTCAGCACTCGCCGTTCATGAAGGTTTTTTGGTGCAATTTTCGGTTATTTTGAAATTAGGTTAGTTTCTTACACTGTAATGGGATTGAACTCAACATATGTTCCCTTATTTTGTGTTCCAGCACCACTTCTTAAAGCAAAGTGACAGTGTAGTGTGTGAACGTGAGATGAAGCTCTGCGTGTGGATGGAGATGTGGATGCATTGCTGTGATATACTGACTCTACACTCCGTCTGCTTCTCTGCTGCTCTTGTTTTCCTCCTGCCAGAGATCTGCAGCTCAGACTGACCCGTGGAGATCCCTCATCAGCGCTGAGACTCTCCTGTTCCTCTAAATCAGCAGTAATAATGCACAAATATCTCACATTTCCAGATCAGCGCAGGCTTTTAGCTGCTGGCTCTTTGACCAACGGCTTTTGTTCCTGCTGTGGATAAAGAAATGATGATGATGATGATGACGCATTAGTGTTAATGTTAACAGACTGAAACACAGAGCTCACGTTTTAATGATCAGCACGTCTCTAGAGCCGGATAATACGTTTCCCTGATTAACAATCCACTTCAGGAGTTTTCAGATGTGTTTGAGAAGTTGGTCATTTAATATTCCACACTACAGTTTAGCAGGGGGAGTTTCTTATTCATGTGTGTGTGTGTGTGTGTGTGTGTGTGTGCGCGTGTGTGTGTGTGTGCATGCGTGTGTGTGTGTGTGTGCGTGCGTGTGTGTGTGCGTGCGTCCGTGTGTGTGCGTGTGTGTGTGTGTGTGTGTGTGTGTGTGTGTGCGTGTGATCAGAGAACTGCTGCTGTAGCAGAGTGCTGTAGATGTTCAGATATATCAAACAGGCAGTTCATTACGGCGAGTGCTTGGCTCCTATAGCAGCGATACGGCAGTCGCACCGAAATATTGATCACACACACACACACACACACACACACACACATCTGAGAAACCGCATGCATGAAGTCAGAACAGATTATCTGATCAATACAAACAATATCCAGTGGGAAGATGAGCATCGTGTGTGTGTGTGTGTGTGTGTGTGCGTGTGATTACAGACAGATAATCATTGAACAGCAGTGATAATCATGAGGAGATGCTCAGCTCTTCATTACCTGACTGATGTGTACAGACAGACTGATGTAGAAGCTACCGTATCTATCTACAGTATCTGTCCGTCTGTCCGTTTATCCATGTTTCTGTCTATCCATCCATCCATCCATCTATTTAGTTAGTTCTGCAAATAACTGTTTTTGTGTTCACCTGCAGTGTGTGTGTGTGTGTGTGTGTGTGTGTGTGTGTGTGTTCTGTTATTGTGTAACAGTAGTGTGTAATGATGATTAAAGCACTCCTCTGCATGTCTGCTGTTTCTGCGATGAATGGACTCATTAGGCCTGTAACGGCTTTAAAGATTCACTGACACACACACACACACACACACATCGTCAGCCACTACACATTCAGAGATTTACCCACTCTTCAACACTACAGAAGCAGCTTCACATTATTGCTCAAGTCGAGCTCTTCCACATCTGTTTTTGAATCAAATTAGCATTCATTCATTCATTCATTCATTTTCCTTCAGCTTAGTCCTTTATTCATCAAGGGGTCGCCACAGCGGAATGAACCGCCAACTATTCACACACACACACACACACACACTCATACACTACGGCCAGTGTAGTTGATCAGTTCCCCTATAGCGCATGTGTTTGGACTGTGGTAGAAACCGGAGCACCCGGAGGAAACCCACGCCAACACGGGGAGAACATGCAAACTCCACACAGAAACACCAACTGACCCAGCCGAGACTCAAACCTTGCTGCGAGCCACAATTCCGCACTTTAATAACATTATATAAACCAAAACATTAAGCAAAAGTTCTCTAAAATATGTTTGTTGTCTTGATCTGTGCGTCACAGAAGAGATCTGCAGTGAGTGAGTGATGCTGACATCTGATTTACATCTTTTACTGTATGATGAACTATAAATCTGCTTCAGCTCACTTGTAATCTTACTTCTGTCCTCAATTAAATTGAGCTTTTATAGAGCAGATCATCTCTGCAGTATGTGAGACGTCCTATGATTCTCCAGCGTTTAAAGGTGTTCAGGGTGTTTAAAGGCTGAAGCTGAAGCAGAGCAGGGTTATGCAGAACACTGAGGACATTACACGTCATAATCCATCCTGTAAAAGTTTAACAAGATCTCTGCATTCATATAAACCTTCATCTTCCTGAAAATGCTGACCGAATCCTCAGACGCTTCCAGTGCTGTGAGTGCACTTCTACAGGGAAGCTGAAGGACAGGTCAGAAACACCGCATTAAAGTCCGACTGATCCAGAGCTGAGTGTAAAGGACATTAATGAAGTGATTCACACATTAGAGTCAGGCCTTGTCCTTGTGCAACTGCACCTTAAAATCAAGTGAGAGCATCAGATCATGTCGTTCATCAGTGTGTGTGTTTACAGGACTCTTTCTGTTGATGCTGCTGGTAGATGTGGATGAAGTAAATAATCAGAAGCTCCTCTGAGAGTTTTGAACCCTGAATGAACTTTAGTGTTTGACATTATTTCAGGCGTAAATCTGCTGTAAATCACTGCTGTTTAATCTTAACCCTGCACCCTGGAGAACACTTAAGGGCCTAGATCAGCTGCAAATCATCATCAACTCAGCCATACACTGCAGGTCTGCTGAACGCTTCATTCTGATTGGCTGATGGGCATTCTGCGGTGTTTGGTTATTGTCAGATGAATGCAAAGCTAAAGTAGTTCCGGCAGGTTTTGAATGCGTTACAGCTCCATATCACCACCCTGAAGGATTATAATTGATTGATTTTTATATTCATTTATTTTTTCAAATTTCATTTAAACATGTTTGATCATCAGAACACACGGTTATGAATGATGAATCTGTCTCTGTGCTACAGTTGTTGTTTTCCACAACACTTTATAGTGTACATAATATAGTGTTTCTCAACCATACTAAAGTAAAGTACTTGAATTGATCTGTTGTGGTGATTCTACAGTTGCTATGGTAACACAACAACTACAGTAATTGATCTGTTGTGGTGATTCTACAGTTGCTATGGTAACACAACACCTACAGTACTATAATCTCTTCAAATGATGAGCAGTGAAGAGTGTGGTCTGACTGTAGCACTGAGGTTTGTCTGTGGATCATGTGTGTCTAATCCTCTCTGTGAGTGATACTGAGGCGCAGGTTTCTGGAGGGTTTTGGCAGTCCTCAGAGCATAATAATGAATGGAGCTGATGTGAATGTGAGCTGATGATTCTGATCGTGATCTGCTGTCTGTAATTAGCCGCTGGCGGTGCTCAGGTGTCGTCAGGTCAAGTGTTTTAGCTCAGATGCTTTTGTCTCGGCAATCTTTAGGTGATTTACCTGTTTGCTTTTTTATCTCCTGGATGACGGCCAGGCTCACATGTGTCTATAGCTGAGCGCTGTGTCTGATGTGTGCAAAAGTCTCCTTTATATAATCTTATCAAATAACCTCATGTCAAAAAGAGAACAGGAGGATTCCTCT